CCATTAAAATCTCCATATGAACAAGAAACTAAATATAACACATAGCACGTCTGCATCATCGCATTTGCATCATTCGTCTGTACAAAATGAATGAAGAAGGAGACGAAAAAACCACAACTAGTTATTTCAAGATGTTGTTTGTTAGCTCAATTATTTGCAGCTATAAAATGCACGACAGTTTCTCTTGCTGATGTTTATAAAAAAATATGTAATTTGCACTTGTATTAACGTAAGTTATGTACACCACGAGAATTACATGCAATTGGTAAATTTCATTAAAGAAAAAAGACACTTTTTTGTACGTTACATCAGACTAATTTCAAAGTGTGTTCGCCTTTTCCAGTATGCAATTAAGAACACACAAGAAATGTTTTTTTTGATCGATCCAAAAATGCATTGCTTAAAAAAATCATTTTATCGAATCGAATTGAAATATAAACACCAAAACGATTACAGATAAAACCATATGATACACAATGAAAAGACACAAAACAACCCAAAAATCATGATATCGCTCGCTGAAATACCAAATATTCATATTTATTTTATAAAAAATGTAATCGGTTGAAAATGGTTACTTAACTTGGCAAGCAGAAAGATGTACGATTTTATGCTATTTAGAATGAATTAAAATACAAATATCCATCCGTTGCAACTGAAGCTGTTGCAAAAGTAAACGAAAAAAAAGGAAATTAAATGAAAATCGTTGGCCAATTAGTTGTGATTTTAGATTGGTGAGCAGCATTTTCCTTTGTTTTGGTGCGCTCGCTTTTATACACAGCTAAACGAATGAGTTAAATGGTGACATTTTTTCATCGCACATGACGCCAATGCAGCGAAAACGACGAATGCACAATCAAAAGAAAAATTTAAAATCCAGTAATCAAGTAATACGAAACACAAAAACAGAATGTGGCAAACGAAAAACAAAAGACAAAAAAAAAACATTGTTAAACCGTCGCCAAGCTGAGCACAAAACATTTCAATTTTAGGACAAATGACTTATAAACTAATGCAATGACTGTGACATAAAGCAGTCGAGACGCGGTTGGACACATTTATCTTTTTGGTGTGTGCTTCTTTTGTTTTATATGCTGGTTTGTACCGACCATCTGGATACAATCGATTTTATAAGTTTCTGCACAAAACCGAACCGGAATTGTTTTTCATTTTATTTATATTGTAGATCTGATCATGTTATGGGAAATAAAATGAAAAACATTGGACTAGGTGACATAAACATCGTTTTTTTTCCATCTGATGTGCATGGAAAATCAAACTAGGCTGGCGTAAATATATTAAAAAGCAAATGATTTCCATAAAAAATGATCATTTTTTTCTTATACTACATGGATCAATAAGTCTTTAGAATCGGACACTAGATGGCGACACAAGTAAATATCCATCTCATTTTTAGAAAGAGCCATCCTTCAAACCTCCAAATATGTAATTTGAGCCAAATCCATTCACTGACTCAGAAGTTACAACTCTTGAAACAGACCAACCTCCAGGTTTTTGTTGAAATTCAAAAAAACAAAAATTCATTTATTGAAAAACTATAAATTTTTGTTTGTTATACCGATCAGCGAAACCAAAACTGAGCTTGCTGGTATTGCTTGGACTCTCTACTATCGATTAGGGCCATTTAGAAGTAGTCTATTGAATTTACATGTGGTCGTACAGACGGGGAAAATAGACGCCTCGAAATGGCAGTTTTTGAAGAGATGTTTGAAGGAATCCAATATTATCGCCATGAAAGTGTGCACTATTCGCGTGAATAATCTAGAGTAGATCCAAAGAATTCCGTAGAATAGTTGTGGAAAAGTATTGCTTCAACATTTGGGTAAAAAAATTCACTCATTCTGAGTTTATGTATTTGCCCGAAGTGAAATCAAGTTTCAACTTTCTAGCGATGTCGCAAGGATTTTTTGCATTAATCAAGTTGGTATTTTTATTTATTGTTAACTGATGATGTCTCATTGAACCCATAAAGTGCATTATGTGACAATGGATCATCTCGACCGTCACCAAATATCGACATAACCTCAAAAGGTCAAAAAATCACATTTTTGGTTTTAGCTCGTATTCTTTGGAAGTGCATTGTTCCAAATATTGCTTTATCATCTTAAATGGGACGAAGCAATGCCAAAAGAATAATCCATATCATTTTTGAACTTTTTGAATCAAGGAAATACTGTTTTTATTGAGAAAATATACACTTCAGTAATGTGACCAAAAATCATGTCGGGAAGCCATACAAATGATGGCAATATTTCACGAAGTAGAAAACGTATGAATTTCATATTTCTGGTGTGGACTGGTGGGACCTTTATCTATCCTCTGGGTGCAGAAATAGTTTTAACATTCAGTCCACTCCTTGAGATAAATAGATGAAATGGAGAATTTGGACCCATTTTGAGGCTATGTTCGATTAAGTGCTGTAACTTCTGAGTCAGTAACTTCATATTTGGAGGTTTGAAGGATTGCTCTTTCTAAAAATGAGATGGATATTTACTTGTGTCGCCATCTTGTGTCCGATTCTAAAGACTTATTGATCCATGTAGTATTTTCCAACTCTTTTGAATTTCTGGCATGAATTATGAATGCAATTTTAAAAATATTAATGCAATTCTCAAATTAACGCGTACACTTCTCTTTCGTTTCGGTTTTATCAGACAAAAACTACTAAATAATAGTTTATTTTCATATTTGCTGCAGATGTATACGAGTCGTTTGATTGATTTGTTTGTCACTCAATGTCACCACATGTTCTGATATTGTTGAAAGAAAATTGCTTGACAAAATAATTTGAAACTATGTCAATAATTTGGTTTTCCATTTTCCTTTGGAATTGATCGACAACAACAGAATCAATATTTGGTGATATTTACGTTGAATTTGTTGTTTATTCAAATGTAAGAACTCATCAAGAACATTAACCGATGCAGTGTGAAAAACAAATCTATATTATAAAAACGAAAAACAACAAGTAAAAAAAACCAATTTAAATGTTTGCTTAAATTTAACGACAATTCTCCGGATGGAGAATGTGATGTGAGACAATGGTCAATGTAAACATTCTCCAATGTTGTGTATTGTTGCCTACTCTTCAGGTGTTACACCCATTCGAAAGTACATTGAATTTTGTTTGTCAAAACAAGGAAGATTAAACAATTTAAATGTGAAAATTTTGTATTGCTAGTTTTTTGCTGAGTTTTTTGAGGAGGCAATACAACGCTACACTATATTAAACAATTTGTATATTTAAATGAGTCATGAAAAAAGTGTTAATCCACATTATTCTATACGCTATTCTATTAAAATTATTACATTGACACCACACACAAAAAACACATCTGATATAGAATAAATTTGTTTTACACATTTTTGGGGGGGGGGGGATATTATTATTCATGTTTATATTTCATGTGTTTGCTGTAGATATTATTTAGTTCCTCACTTGACTCACTAGGAATAATCTTAACGAATATTATCAACACATTGAATGTATTTTGTCGACGATCGTACAGAAAGTCTACCAAATCAGAATGGCCATTCTTTCCAAAGTGTTTAAGAGCCCTGCTTTTAATACTTTCATAACAATTGTGCAATCAACAAAATAAAAACATCGTAAGGCTTAATTCATCTAGCACGGTGGATTAAAATACAAATGTTATTTCAAATGATGTGTCATATATGCGTGCTACATTGTCGATCGTTTAGCAGCACATCAATACAACGACAACATGAAGAATAGGAAGAATAGGAGCGATGACAATGAAAAACATCATTTTTCATATCTAATTTTAAACAACCGAAATATTAATCAGACACCCATGAAATATGATGAACAATAATGAATGATGACATGACCGTAAATATCGAAAAGAATTGTATAAAACACCGCAATGAGCCCACCGATCGTGCACACAAACACGTTAAATAGGTAAGATTGAAACGGTTTTTCAATTGTTTATTCGCTTTAAACTCCTGCACATTCACTGATTATCGCATTATAATATGCCTCCCGATAATTATAACCATCATCAATAATGGGTTAAACGATTCAATTTGAATGCGCACTTAAAATAACCGTTGTATTTGTTGCTTCCTAAATAAATTTTATTGATATCTTCTTTGAACGTGAGCATGTTTGATTCGAAAAATTACGGCAAATTTTACGGGGCCATCAAAAATTGCAAGGCGAGAGCGATGCATTAACGACGTGATTTTGCTCAAAAGGCCAAATTATAGTGTCGATTGAAATTTTTATAATAGCATTTACCGGTTATTTGGCCACCTGTAAGACCATTGCTTGCGGTAAAGAGAGAATTATTGCATGACTTTCATGATTCTATGCATGAAATGAGCACGCATTTCGCGATGCGTCTTCCATTTGAACAAATATCCATTTAAGTTAATTGTGAAGAATTCTAAAATAAGGAATGACTGACACGCATAATGACAATTTCTATAGTTCTGTCAGTGGATTTGGTAGAAAAACATTTTTCGATTTGCGATGAAAGAGAGTAATTGATGAGCATGACAGAATTTGTGTCATATTTATTGGAGAAATGAATGTATATCGTTTGATATATGTCGAAAATTATCATAGTTTGAATAATTCGTTTATTATTATTTTATATTCAATGCACGTAACGATAGTCAACTTCAACAATCTAGCTAGATCACATGTTGCTGTCTCATTTTGATACAAAAAACTAACACTAGATTTAAAAAATGTTAAACGTAAAACTACGTACATAGGCTGAATGTTGTATGAATGCAACGACTACAAATTGAAATAAAATAAATATTGATCCAATTAAAAGTGTATATGAATCACTGTGCATGTTCATGATCTTACAAACAGCAATTTGTGATTGTAAAACGTAAGTAGGTTGTGTGTCTTATTTTATCTTTTATAGAGAGTAAAGGAGAGAGAGAGAGAGAACAAAAATAATAATATGTATTTGCACACAGCATTGGAATTTGTTTACTTTGGATTCGTTTATATCGCTCTAAAACATTTGTTGTGGCAAATTCATCCATTATCTGGCACATGTTGACGGTCAATATTGGGGTCGGATTTGAGTGTAGTTTTAGTCATTTTCAACGTCGCAATGGAAAGAAAAAAGAGAAAAAATAAACTCAGTTAGTACTTCGGTCAAGGCCACAAAACTCAAGCCCAGCATAGTAGCAAAATGTTAAAATAATATTATTTAAAAAGAAACTGGTCGTCATCGGAAACATCGAGAACATAAACGTAGTCCTCGTTGTAACTGGAATCCTCATCTTCAGCTGCTTGATTTTGTACGGCAGCATTTTGATTCTGTGGTCTCAATAGTTGCGGATGAATGTCCAATCCCAACACCGTACAAAGACCTGAAAACAAAATCGTAAACACCAAATTGTTAGCCAAAACATTTTTTAACATTTTTAATTTCAGTGGTCTTTTTTCCCCTTTGTACATGATGTTCTTGGCTGCAACGATATCATGGTGCCAAACAGTTTTCAATTGAAATGGAGCTCGATCATCTTTCCGAATGCCAGTGTTTAGTTGTCAGTTTTTGAAACATACTTGAAGTTTTGACACTAAACCATCTGAATCCATTGGAATATGATCTGGGTTGGCTGCATCCAATCGATTAACAAAATTAATTGCATATTTACGCAATTGTTGGTACACTCGGTTGCTTTTCATGGTGATAATCACGTTCGCTAAATTCCATTGCGATGACACATCTTCACTTGGAATACAATGCTGACTAACTTTGTAACGATCGCTTTTGGTTCGTCGATCGAATGGCCGAAACATTTTGCACAAGTTTGCGATGTATTGTATTCGTCGACAAATCGTACGATACAATTTTCCAACTTCTTGAAACTATTTGATATTCGTCGTAATCCCGGGCATCGCAATCGCTTTTTAATACCAATTGGTGAGTTTGGAGCAATTTGAGCTGCACCAATAAAAACGAGCGCCGACTTTTTGTCGTCAGTGATGCCGCGATTTTGTCACTGGCCCGATTCTTTTCGATGTATTTATCGAGACGGAATCGAATGAACTTTCTTGTTGTGTACACCGCCATAGCTGGTTTCATCATTTGCACATAATAAGCGATGCATAGTGCTTATAGTCGAGCTCCCGTTGTTTTTGCAACAATTCAGTCCATTGATCGGATTTACGCTTGCGTTTGCCATATTTCGCTTTGAAATGGTATTTTGGACCATCAATTGTGATGTTTTCCTGAGATTTACGAACAAAGTATCAACAATGAATTTATTGTTTCTTACCTCGTTGCCGAATCGAACGTGTTTGCGAACGGTGGCGTTCCATGTACGAACTCCTGGATCGATTCCATGCACATAACCAAACTCAAAATTGTTGTACTTCTCTTTGATGGTGTTGTCATAAAGTTCCGGTGTATTGCGTTCAGGCTTCACGAAACATAACGAAACTGCCACACTATCGGTTGCCACAGCAAAATCGAATTCCTTACCATTTCCAAGTTTCAAAATTTTTGGAATGTCAAATATTAAATGTGGTCGGTATGACATTGTTGTTCGGATCGCTGAATGTTTATAAATATTGGGATGGTTTGGAACCGGCGATCACGAATGAGATTCTGGAAGTGTACATTGATTGACAATCCAATGCCTGCTGCTTCATTTAATAGAAGATCGATTTTCGCGTTTATCTCGACTCTATTCTGGAACATTACGATTTTCGTCACACGTTTTACATCCAATTCAGTGATGAGATTTCCTTGTCGATTCAAATTCAGTTCGTAGCGCTTTACCGTGAAAAATTTCTTCATGCGACTGAATGCCCATACTTTGATGTTATTTTGCACGTTTTTTATGTACTGAGTGATGAGATGATTGAATGTTGTTGGAATATTCACAGTAAATTTTATCAACAATCTGTTATTTCGAAATTAAAACAAAGACATTCACAAAACAAACTGTGAATATATTCAAAAAGACAATAAAACCAATTGATCGCCCAAGCCACGCTTCAAACACTCTCATATAATTCTCAAGAAATCCTGTTGAAAACAAAACAAAGTTTTATTGTAAACCAAATCGGTTGGTGCGAATACTGTCACACAATGTGAGCACATTTTTAATACATTTAAATGAATATCGTTGGATTTGGTTTGACACATATACACCGCGCCAATCGAAAAATGTCAGTTGCATTTCGAAAATTCAAAATAATAATTCCACAAATAAAAAAAAATAAATGCAATAAATAACGTATAAAAGAGTTCTTCTGCAGAGTTTTAAATTAAATTATGCATATCTCTTTCCGAATAAATTGTTTATTTTTTTATTTGAGCGTTAGATTTAGATTTTCAATTTAAAACTTAATGTATTGGGTTGTGTTCAAATTATGTTGTCAAATGAAATATTATTGGAAGTGAAAGAAACAAGTGGATCCATTACATTGGAATTCGTGGAAACTATGGTGTATATGCATACCTAATCTCCGTTCCGTTTGACATGAAAATTTGACCACCAGAATGGGCCAAAATGTTACATTTTTCAACGTTAGAATGTACTTAAAACATTACAAATTTGTTTGCTCTATAGAGTCAAGCATTCCTTTTGGCTTTAAGTCAGATCATTAGGTATGTGAGCAAACAAAGGAAATTCGTCTGATACCAAGTGTATGAAAGCGAAACGGAAAAATAATCGCACCAAACAAATGTAAAAAAAACTAACCAAAAGAATGAGAACAACTTATGATAATCAAAGTAAACAACAGCAAATACAAAGGACATACCGAATTGAAGACGAAAAAAAGTGTCCATATTCCGACTGAAGCAAACTGATGAAACATCAGTTTTACTTTACTTTCGAATATTCGGTTGTTTGAATTTTGTTGACACAAGCAAATTAAGAAAATTCCAAGTGAATATATGTAGACAGAAATGCATATGAATAATCAATACGCTGTAGCTATCACACGGAGTTTGTCGAAACGTTTTATGTAAACACAATCGAAAAGAGGAATGTTTTTGTATGCGATGCGATTATTGTTTATAAAAATGCTTAAGACTTCAACTCCGACATCAAGTCTCACACCAGTAAATAAAACAAATGGAAATATTCTATTGAAATATATTACTTTTTTGCATACAATTTTCGTTCGAAAATTACCAATAAACTGGGCCAACACATTACATTTTTCAACGTTAAAATGAATAAAAAAACATTACATTTTTGTTTGTTGGGTATGCAAGCGATCATCTGATGATTTCTTGTGGTTCAAATAGCAAACCAAGCGAATAACTCTCGTAAAAGTATGCAAATGATCAATTTGCGGTCTGAATTGATACATGGAGACAATAACAAAGAGAATGAAACAAACAAATAAAAATAATATCTCAAAATGAATTGTACGTAATAATATAATAAGTGATCAGTATTCAATAAAGAAAAAAGAATAGCGTGGAAAGAAAGAGGAAATAAAAAAGAAGCAAAAAATGTTTACACCCGGGAACGTGTGCATAGCAAGAATGATGTGAAGAAAAGACGGAGGCAGAGAGACCGTTTTGATCAATTTGTTTGACAAAGTTACTATCGGAAGAATTATAGGCTGTTTTAGTTGTATTACTACTCCGCCATATATATTTAAACGAATATTTTCAACATAAAATATGCACACTTGTCATTCGGCCACAATAAATTTGTGCAGGAAACTTGCGCATTTATTTTTATTCGACGTGTATATGTAAAATATTCAAAATGAACAACAACAACAACAAAATGTGGCAAAGTGTAAAAAAGAAAAGACGTTTGGTTTCCCTACCTTTTGACTTTTCAATGTGTCAGAAGTCATTTCTTTAGCTAATTAACTTTGAGATGAAGAGAAAAAAGAATACAACCTATTTATAATAAAGCATACATTTAATATGCGTATCTCCTTTCGTCTATCGTTGTTTGAATTGAAACATCGTGAGATTATTTGGTAGTTGAACATTTTCAATCGTTACTCAGTTTCGGAAACTTTTGTTAAAAAAATTACCGTCTAGTTTCTGTTCATCAAATGTCAGATCTAATGATATACGCAGAAGATGCACCGAATTTTGAAATTATTTCGGTTGCTGTAGTTGAAAACGACGTGGGTTATGAAGAGCTCCGGAAATTATTTTATATCACAGTGCATGCTCTTTCTTTTCTCTTGATTCAGTAATTTTTGTTGTTGTTGTTTTTTTTTTTTATTCAAACGAACGTTGTTCGGTTGTTGCAATTTTTTTCACTTTAGATTAATCCCTTGAATATATCGTCGAGCAAAAAGTATAAATATTGAACTGTATGATGATACACAGACACAAAAATGAAATGTCTTAAGCATGAATGACTTCAAACACCAATAAACAATAAATATGTCTTGCCTCTTTTATTTTCAATATAGTATTTAATTTTTTTCATTCTTCGATTTGCTTTTTCTCCGAGAAAATAAATCAATCTTATTTGTACATTTGTGCATCCTGTTCTAACAAGACAAAACACGAACGAGAAAAAAAAACACAATAGAAAGCGGAACGCAAAAGACGACAACCGATTTCAAGTTTAAGCATGTTCGATTTTGAGTTTTTCGACTTTATGCGCGCGCACACATCGATTCAACCGAATGCCAGATTTAACAGATTATTTGCCATTTAGATACAAAAAGAATATCAACATAATTTTATTTACTTATTTTATTTATTCGTATACGAGGCGGTATGCAAAGTCGAAACATCTCTTAAAATATTGTATATTTTTAAATTAAAACTCGGTAGTTGCATAAATGTATTAACAATACAAAATTAAATGTACGAAACGTCTAAAAGATCGCTGCATAATAACTGCAATATTATAATGAATGGACGCAAATATTTATTTAATAATTGGATTTTTTTCAATATCCCGTCGACATTTTCTTGCCAAGTTTGAGCAAAACAATTTTTGTAACCATATTACCAAAAGAAGTGCGATTTGATGTGTTGTTTACCAATATAAAACGTGTCTTCTGGTCTTTAGTATTATTTTTTTTTGGTAGAAAATTCGGAATTAGATATTTATTTTCCGTAATTAGATATTTTGTTTTGGAAGGCTGTTGAAAGTGTTTTATTTCAAAAGTTTTTTTTTTTTTTTATAAAAAAATTGGTGATATCTACAATTTTCTTCGAATTTTGAAAAGTCATTTTGTTATATTCTTATAATTATGTCGGTTAAAAAAAAATATGTCGGAATTATGTCGGTACCCAGGAAGCTCAATAAAAAAGGACTTTTCGCATAAAAAAAAAATATATGTTGAGTAAATTTTTTCTTTTTCGAAGTATTGTAAAAAAAGACCTTTTTCCATTTTTTTCGAAGAAAATAATTTGTTTTTGATTTTTTGTGATAGATACATAATCGACATAATTCCGACATAAATATAACACATATAAAAAACAATAATAATTTGAGGAAAAAAAATGTTTTATTTATTTATTTATTTTTTTTTTTTTTTTTTGAAAAAATGATTTTTGTGGTAGCATACCGACACCAATCATATTTCAAAATCTGAGTATATCATTTGAACCGACATAATTCCGACATAGTTCCCATGCTTTTATTTTTCACGACTAGTCGTCGTTTCGGAAAATAAATGAATAGCCTCGACTTTATGCGAAAAGTCCTTTTTTTCTTGAGCTTCCTGGGTACCGACATAATTCCGACATATTTTTTTTTTCAACCGACATAATTCCGACATAATTATAAGAACATGAAAAAATGACTTTTCAAAATTCGAAGAAAATTGTAGATATCACCAAAAAAATTAATTTCATTTGTTGCGTCGAATTGAAATCGAAATTATTATTTTCTACCGATTTGTAACCGGATATTTGTAACCGGTAACTTGTTTAATATATATTTAAATATTCATTTGTCCATATCAAAATATTATTGCATGTATTTTTTTTGTTTACACTTCGCAACAATTATATGAAAAGTTTACTCTCCTTTACACGCTTGAACAATCCAAATCATTACAAACTTTACTCGCTCCACGTGCATATATACAGTCATACACATATGAAAAAGGAGCGAAAGCGGTCGCGCGCGCGCTCACGCCAGCGTGCACATTGCACATAAGAATGAGACACATACAGGCGAATTAAAGGAAAAAAGTTATAAATAACCGACTCCACTACTTATCAGAAACGAAAGACATTTATGGCAATAAAAAATAAATAAAGAACGAACAAACAGAAAAGAAACGAAGCGAAGCGAAAAGGAACAGGCAAAATCTAAATGTGAAAGAAGCGACATGAAGTAGTTGATACAGGCCAAAGAGACAGCTCACACAACACACGCTGGATATTAGTGAATATTTTATGTGCGTGTTTTGTTCAGTCGGTTCGAAAAAAAGCTTTTTTTTGTGTCCAGCATCGTTCGATTCTCTTCTAGCTTGCCATTCGTATTGTGTTTTGGTATTGCTCCATTTGTCCGATAACATGATGCACCTACACAGTCAAAACCACACAACCCGAAGACATTTTTTGAAAAATTCCTCCATCTCGTTTAATGTCCTTTACGCGATGCAATGTTGATCACACACACTAAAAAAATGACAAGCAGAAAAGAGAGAAAAAAAGAACCAACAACTCGATGACGGTACGACGTTTACGACGAAGATAACATGAAAAACGAAAGAAAAAAACAACGCACACACTAACCAAAAATAAATGAATTGATGGGTAAAAAAAATTGGATTATGACATGTCATAGAAAATTATTATAGTTGAATTCTGACAGCACTATGGCTTAGTGCTTCATAAAAATGGCTTTACAAAAATTTTCAGATTTTTCAACACCGTCAGTCATTGGAAATTTCAGTGTCTGACACTTTTTGAAAAAAAAAAAAAATCCAAATTTTGGTGTAGCAATTTAATCGAAATCATATAATCTAGTAATTCATTATTATTGGAAAAATATCCAGGCTCACTTTACCGGCCGATTGATACTCTTTCACACGACGATAAAAAACCAAAAAAAATGTCGAAAGTTCGCTTCACCCGAGTGTTCATCTTTTAAATGACTTTGTCGTCATTTTTCTCTACTTCGGCTGTGAACTTTCGTATGGTGTGTAAGCATCATGTTAAGCGGCTCAACAACATGCTTTATGCTCGACAGAAGAGAAGAAAAAAAAAACAAACCAGCGAGAGAAATATCGAAATAAATTTTTGTGTCTATGTGTGCAGTGAGGTGAGAATGTGTGTAGGTTTCTTTTGTACTGTGTGCTACCTAGAGAAAAAGTAGCAACGGGAATGCAAAAGAGACTGCCAATAAAGGAGAATAAGAATTCAGGTTCACATGCACACATTGGAACGCTCTCAAGCCGTGCTCAGCGCTGTTGTCAGAATGCATCTTAAACATTTCAAAGCATCGCATGATAGTCAGTCAGTACACATTTGCGTTTCATAGTGATCGGACGGTTTTGTTGGACGACTCTCTCTCATTCACGTTGATTACAAGATTTGATCATAACATATTTCGTGTGTGTGTTTTTTTCTCTGTTGAATTCGTGACTATGAACTTCAATATCAAAATGAAAAACGTTTCTTTCGTTTTGCCTTTTTGTGTGGATTTTTTTTTTAAATATTTCACACGAAAAATGGTGAACGGACTTTAAGAGAATCGAAAATACGATCTTCGAATCGAGATGTGTGTATGGAACAATTTACGAATATTTTCGAAAACGTTGGTTTGGTGAATTTTGTGCGTACAACGAGAAAAAAATTCAATTGCCAAGTGAATATCGAAAAATATTCAAGTGAATATAATGTACTGACCGAAAAGGCGATAAAAGATTTTTCTCATTGAGCTCTTCTTTTTATTATTACCACGAATTTTTGGCACGAAAAATATGTCATCTGTTAAACCGAAATGCAACAATAAGTTCAAATGAAATTACGAACAATTTTTGCGGCATAGCTTATACAAGCAAACGTAGCACAGAAACAGTAACAAGCTTGAATGCGATAACACTAAAAAGTGAACACTAAACTACTGCGAAAAAGCCACAGATTTAAATATAAAATATATTTATGTTGTGCATATGTACATAAGATATATGAAGAAATAATAATAATAATAATCATCGTGGTCGTCGTCTTCGTCATCGTCATCACAAAGCCGATGTAAAATTATTGTATATCATTGCACAGAATGCGCGCAGCAGTGGGTGTAAAATACAACAAGGATTTATGGAGTTCGCTTGTATTCAATCCAAATAAATAATAATCCCCAACAAGAATGCAAGATACACGCTCAATCAAACTGTTTGGCATAGTGTTTCGTTTTTTATTCGTTTGTTCATTTTTCGCTCTTTCGTTATGTTAAAAAAAAACACACACTTTTTTTAACTCTGATTATTCAAAGGGCAGTCTCGTAATCTGGCGGTTCGGTTGATTTGCGACAAATCAAGTTTTATTATCAGCTAGACATAGAGAACGAACAATAAACAAAATTTAACACAAAAACATTTTAACAGACTTAAAAAAAACCACCATCTGGTACGGCATTGTCCGTAATAATTTGTGTCTTTAATATGGATGAATTTCAATTTGAAATAAAATGAACATTAATTGATTGTCAAATATGCGGTTAAAATAATTCAATGTCGCTTTAGCGTATTTATTTGATTTAAATAAAAAAACGAACTGAAAACATTTGCAGGAAAATCCATGTGAGACGAAAAAGTGCATTACTTTCGAAGAGAATTCCAGTTTCTATGACTAATTGAATTGCAGCAGTGAAACAAAAAAAAAATTGAGAAAATATTGCCTACAGTGTGAAACAATAAAACTTAAGAGCAAATAAAATACATGCAGAGAGAGAGAGCGCGAAAAAAACTCAAACAGCGACCGATTAGACAGACGGAGTATAAGTCAATTTGCAAATCAAATAAATAAAATCTATCACATGTGAATTGAGTGTTGAAAAAGGAAGTGATGTATGATCCAAGATCAATTGAAACTAGTGAAAATGGAAAAGAGGATAATGTAATTGTATTACAAAAAATGTATCGTCGACGTAATTTTCAACGGCAAGCGTGTGTTATAAGTGTTATGGCGGCATTCGTGATCGGATTATCGTTGGGTGTTTTCGTACCAGTTATTGGCTTGGGCACCGCCATCTCAACGGAATTTAATGATAGACAGTTGCTATCGTCACGATCATTATCCAATTTTGATGTGAATGGTAAAGCGATCGCCGATGTCGACATTGTAATCGACCATACAAACGATGTACATTTATCGAACGTTTACAATATTAATGGTGAAAATGATAAACTCAGCGATTCGTATGCGGTCACATTTGTGACTGAAGGAAAAAGGTTAACAAAACATGTCAACAACAAAAATGACATAGATTCCATCAATTCTGACAGATTCAATGATTCTAATGACCATTCGCTTACGGCCTATTTGAACAGAGAACGAACACGAAAAATTACATCGCAACGATTTGCCGACGGCAAACATGTAAACGCTATCATATCGTCATTTCCATTCATTTCGACAAGCTTGAAGCGATACAATAAAGCCAATAACAAAAAATATATACACATTGATTATACAAATGGGAATGATGTATTGCACAATCGATCCCAAATGCTTCCAACCACAAATATCAACGAAAATCCATATGATGTCATTGAAAATAATATATTTTGGGGAAAAATAATCGAAGATGCCTTACCAATGGGGTATAGCGTTGATCACGTGAACGCTTGGAATGATTATGTTAATAAAAATGCAATTGTTAAATTAGAAATTGGATGTGGACGAATGCAAAATCGTTTGGTTACATTTCAAGATGGGCGCAAAGCATGCGCGCGCTATAGACAAAACACGGATCAAATTCAAGGTGAACTGTTCAGCTTTTATTTGGGACGTCTATTGAATTTGACCAATTTGGCACCGAGTGCCGCATCAATCATCGACTTAAATTCAAATCCATGGATATCAGCCGCACAAGACGTTCAAAGTGCACAATGGAAAGTTCAAAGACCAGTTGTACTTACCGATTGGATTCCAGACCTTGAAGCAGCCAATATTCCGGTCCTATTCCAACCGATGGAACGTCATTTGAATAAATTTGATGTAAAAAATATCACACTTGGTTTAGATGTTAAACCGCCAAAAACATTGATGCATCATTTGGGTGGTATCAAACCAAATCCCAATTGGAATCAACTACCAGTTAAAATGGATCATACCAACAATGACATTGAACTCAATAAAACGGTCCAACAGAAATTGGTGGAGCTAGCACAATGGTCGGATTTGATCATTTTTGACTATTTGATCGCTAATTTAGATCGTGTGGTTAATAATCTATACAATTTTCAATGGAATGCCGATATAATGACAGCACCAGCTCATAACCTAGCCCGACAAAGTGATTCAAAACTCTTGGTATTCCTTGATAATGAATCCGGTTTGTTGCACGGCTATCGGCTGCTTAAAAAATACGAAACCTATCACGGACTTTTGATCAATAATTTATGTGTATTCCGTCGACGAACCATTGATGCATTGCAGAAAATGCAGAGTGATGGCATTGGTAGACAATTACAGCAATTATTCGAACAATCAACATCGGATAAAGTACGAGATGTATTACCATCATTGCCAGATAAATCAATTAAAATTCTAGTCGATCGGATAGATCGTGTTTTAGGCCAAGTGCAAAAGTGTCGTGAATTATTTTCAAATAGATAGCATCAAATTTAATTACAATAGTTTTCGTTTGGTGCACTTTTTCAACGCACATTTTTTTTTTGTTTTAGTTAAAACAACTTGGATCAAGAATATCTATATATGATATAAAATTGTATATTAAATTAAGAGAGAAGGAGAAAAATACGCAACTTAACACTAAAAAAAGGAAATGGACGACAACAAAATACAATACGTATGTAGTTAATCGTGTATATGCGATGCATTAAGAGTAAGAAAAATAAAAAGAAAGACAGATGGATACAGAGAGAACGAGAAGGAAAAGGTATGAAAAAAATTAAAACGGCACACACAACGCGCACAAAAAAATTAAAACGATTGACTGATTTATTATACAATTATTACAATATATAAAATATTGAAAATCAAGTTGCAGAAAAGTGTTTCGTATATATATATATTCATTCTATCGTCCCTTCTTCCTCTCTGTCATTCTTATAAATAAATAATGTTTTGCGTGCACTGGTGTTTTAGATTTGTAGTTGTAGTTGTATTTATATTTTGTATATTTGATCACAAGACTTAACATTACATGGTACACTGCTGCAAACCCATATGAAAATTCACATTAGTGACAAAATATCAGCGCATTTAATGGAATTAACAGAGATAGATATCCACCGTATCAATTGATGTAAGCATTTCAATGCAACGGCAATGGCCACTAGACAAAGTCAATGTCAAACAATTGTAATTATAATTAAATGAATGCTTTATGCTCGAATTTTTATGGTTTTTAATTGCGTAGCATTGCATTGCATTCAATGAACTAAAGAAAAACACTCTCTGATTCAATATATATATATATATATTGTATATTCTCATCGCAGCAAATAAAAATGATTGCAAAGGATACCGAAATAGAAGAATAAGAAGGAGAAAAAAGTACCACAAAGTGGTATAGAAGCAACTAAAATTCAATTTATGTGCTGAATACAGGACTAAAAACAAACAAACAAACGAAAAAAAAGAAACAATATAAATAGATGTGATCGTAGTTTACATGTGAATATATCCGCATGTGAAATGCAACCAGATTTTATCATATAGCAGCTTGTAGCATCTATTGTTTTTTTTATTTTATAATTTATACATAATTATAGTATAACCGCTATATATGGTAGAGTTTTCATGTAAATAAGTAATATAAATCTTGGAGGTTAGACATGTAAAATTAGCAAAACGCATTTTACGAAAGAAAATTATAAGACCAATAAAAATGATAACATAAACACTATACGGACGTAATTTACATTTCAAAATTGATGGAAGAAGAAAATTGCACAAGCTAAACGGAGATTTTTGAAAGATAACGAATAAAATTGAATGGTGTGTGAATATTCGAATATGCAAAAGTAATTACCAAAAAAAAAAAAACATTTCTAAATCATCCGAAAGAAAAAGTAATGCCAGAATTATGGATTAAATTACATTGTAAAAATTCAAATTTACCTAATATTAAAACGAAATCAATCAGAATCTATATAAAAAAACACATGCTAGGAACTTATGATAATTAAATAGATCTGTCACAAATATATACATTATTTGGAATGAACAGAAGCGTGAACATAAAATAAATTGATGAAAATAATAAATTGTTTTAATTATTTTCTTTGTTTGTACAATTGTACATAGAGTATATTCGCGATGAGAATAGAATGCACGATAAATCCAAAACGGTATTAAAAAAAATGTATTGGAAATTGGGGTTTACAATGTCAACAAATGATAACTTGGTTTCTGTGCCAAGATGGAATTTTTGAGGTCTCATAGTTCAGCGACCTGAAGAATATCGAATACAAATACAAATATCAGCAAAGTTAAATATCATCTCTCTTCCTGAGAGTGTACGCGGCTCGCGCGATAATTCTCGGAACATGGTCTTGTTAACAATTATAAATTCTATAAAAGGAATTGAATTTGAACACATGTTGTTTCTTTGAACATCGAGTTGCATTTCTCTCTCTCTCTCTCTCTCTCTCTCTCTCTCTTTCTATTTTGAGTTGGTGGTGGCAGTGCTGCGGCTGCTGATGCTGCTAATGTTCTTCTATGTTCGCAACGCAAACAATGTTATTGTAGGTAAGATGGTTGTGTGAAACAGCACGTATGTGATTGGCAAACAAATATAAATAATATGTGTGTGCTTTGTCTATTTGCTTTGTAGCATGGCCTTTGTGTGCATTTAATTCAAGGAAAACGAATGCAGAAAAAATAACTCTTTTCTTTTCAATATCATACTCTCACATCACATTCAAGATGTCGATGCAGGAATCGTGCGTGATATTATTCATCGTTGCTATAAATTGCAAATCAATGGTGCACATCAAGTAATTCCGAATTGAATTTTTATATATATTATTTAGCTACCTTTAGTTTTCGATCTAGATCAGCGCATCTATTTCATTTTTTTAAATCTGATATTATCTATCGAGTGACCCGACTTTTTATCGTTTACTTGTTGTTTATATCGTGATGATCCACTAAAAGCGTCGTCAATACTTTCTTTCATCATAACAGATTTGTATTTATCGGATGTATTTTTTTCAAATAATCTATATAAAATTATATTAAACTTAATCTTATTTTCACATAAATTCATCTCAACATATTCACATCATTTAAAACTTTATAACACTATTACCTTCAAATTCAAGGAGCATAATAATTGTTTGTCATTTCTGTTTGGTTTTAGAATTTATATCTTAAGACAAATCGTATCTCGTATAAATTTACAATACGCAGTACTGAGAGTACGATTCTCATTCATTTTTATTTTATCGTATTTACCTAATAAACCGAACATTTGCAAATTTCATAAACATAGATAGTGAATATCTTTGTTCGGTTGACAAATGAAAATAGCATGGCTTATCTCTTGCTGTATAAATAAGAAAACCAAATTGATTGATTAATGCATAAAGCATCGAGGCGATGCAATAATGTAGTATTATTGGTATCGTAGCCGGTATCGACGGCAATTATAATAAATTGTTGTCTTTTTTTTCTTATTTTGATGCATTTTTATCAGACAATATATTGAGCTGAATATTCATTTGAAATGAAACGAAATAGCACGCTATTTTTGATAAAACAATAGAAGTGATTGTTGTGGTTATAAAACACTTACGTTGGTACAATAATTATAACAATCACTTCTATTTTTTTATCAAAAATAGCGTGCTATTTCGTTTCATTTCAAATGAATATTCAGCCCAATATATTGTCTGATTTTTATTTCTTCGTATTGAAAATACTTACTCTATAGAGTGTTACAACTGAGTGCATATGCACGAATTTGTAAATACATTTTCATATCACGGATAGGCCATACTATTAATACGTATACATATTATTATTGAACTAATGTGGAAAGGTTTTATCGAAACTATAAAGTTGAACTGAATATCGTAATTCTGTAACAGTCGAGTCTGAATCCAAAAAAATGGAACTCTCAATATTATTAATTAATTTTAAATGATAATTTCTTCTAATTTTTTCTCAATTGAGTCAATAATATGTCTAACATACAACAGTTTAAGTATATATTAGAAACTAAATATATATGGATTTTTTGGGAGGCTGCTCTTAGCCGATAATCCAATTATCAACGAGTAAAAGGAATCTGACGTCATTGAAAAAAGTATCTTTTCTGTGTAAAACAAGATATTTCTTTACTAAAAATATCGAATATTTTTTTAATACATTTATTAAATTATTGGAACTAGAAAAGAAATCTGAAATCTAATCCGATGTCTGACACCGCACATATTGATCTTTATTTTTAAATTAATTTCCATGTCAGACGTGAGTCGTAGTGATTTCATAAATCGTTCTATCTTTTTTTTTCGAGATTTTTGTTTGTGTTTTGGATTTATTTTATTATTTACTATTATATCGAATGACATTCTATATCATCGTCGGCAAACAGGTATTTTTTGTATAGAAGAGTCAAACATCATAATATGTACAATACAACACACACAAAGAGGCGAATAAAAGACTGTAAAAATATTTAATGTGACACACTCTAGAATCTAGAGTCTGAATAAATATTGAATGTTGATGTTGTCATTATGGTATTCAAGCGAAAGAGATGCATCTCTCTCTCTCTTAATTATTAAACTGTCTATCTAAAAAAAAATGGATCGAAAAAGACATAATTTTGCAAATGGTAAAATATATTTATAAATTATCTCCAAATAAGTAAGATAATACCATATCAATAAAAATTGATTTTTAAAGGTTTACAGTAAATATGAACATAGCAACAACAAAAAGTCATACTTTCTACGTATTGATATTTTAAATAGCAAATAACTGGATTCTTGGTGAATGGCATGCTCGTGCCGAAAATAAACAATGTAATTTTTTTCAAACCGTAGAATGCAGAGATATAAGCCAATGGTAAAAAATGCCAATATACTGAATCTTTCTCTATTTCATAATCTATCAAAAACTACTATAAATTTACGATTTACAATAAATAAATATGCGATGAATGTGTTCTGCTCGACACTGAATGCAATGAATATACAATGACAAATATAAATATAGATTAAATTGTTTAGTCTATACAAATCGATTTTATGTAATCAAGAATTGTTAATTATTATTATTCGGCAAATCGCATTTTGCAGAGAGGGGCAAATCGCATTTTTTTTGTTTTGCAGGGGGGCAAACCCCAATTTTCAATTTTTGCAGACGGGGGTAAATCCCGGACGTTTGTGTGACAGGGGGGCAAAACATGGAAACCCCCCCTCTCAGCACCTATAAACACAGACACTGCGACACTGTTGGTTTTAATTCGGTGGTAAAATTCCTTCGTACCCGTTCGTTGTTCTGTGATTATCTTCATGTCAAACAACAGTGCCCATGCAGCGTCCTTGTTCCCAGCTCTGGCGTAGTATGTACGGTAATCGCTTTTGATATCCAGTTTTCCATTCTTACGTAATTGACCTAAGAGGTTGATCAAATCAGTATGATCAAATTTGATGTACTTCAACTTTGTGTCGCAGAATGGAATGACAGTGAAATTGTTAACATCTGGCAGTTTCGGCAAGCATGGCATCTTATTGTTCTCTCGATCGCAACTGTAGATTAGATTAGATTTATTTCACCGCCAAGTGCTGGCTGAACTTAGGTATTTTTACAGAGTATAATATATGTATAATAAGAGTTTAAGTTAAATAATCAATTAGTTAGGTGAATATAATAGTTGAAAATTATATAAATACATAATTTTTTAGGTGAAAATAAATAATTTGTTAGGTGTAAATATCAATTGATAATCAGTCAGACTAGAAATGAGAAAATAATTGAATTATTATCATGACTACATTTTTTTAAAAATGTATGCTTTCCATTGCTGGCTAAGAAAAACATAGTCACTCTTAAATTGGGCCACGATGCGTTGGATACGAATCCACATCCATAATGACTCGAACCATTCTTGAGATATTTGTCGAATGATTTGCCACAATGCGAACGAACTTCTTCAAATAAAATGCTCATTTTCACCTGTCATTCATCATCGTTGTCTGTCCAATCTTCATTGAGCATCAGATTTTTCATGGTGTTCATAATGTCAGTGTTATCGAAAGGTGAATAATTGGATGACTAAATCAGTTGTGGCTTTTTTTTTTTTTTTTTTTTTTTTTTTAATTTGGGGAGCTAGGAGGTGTCGCTCAGGCTTAAGCTTAGGTGACGCTATCAAGCTGATGCGCTATCAGCTGCTATCAAGCTGGTGCGCTATTCAGCTGCTACCCAGCTGATGCGCTGTCAAGCTGCTATCAAGCCGATGCGATTTGGCTCAAAACCCCGTTAGTAACGTTAGTAACTTACATACGATGTTCTATCGGTCACCCATTCAATCACTGACCAAAGCATATGCAGCTTAACCTCAGTGAGTGAATGGTGCCGTAGTAGTCGCAGCAGCCACTGTACCCCCCTATTTGTGGCTTTACAAGTTTATAATTAAATTGATAGCATTTTAATCGCAAAAAATCCGTCAATTTTGACCAACAACCCTTTTTCGAATTAGTCTATACATTAGTCTTATATTGAGAGCGTCAACTGCGCGAGTCATCTGACTGTGTACTGGCCAATCGAATTTTGGACTCCATTGTCGCACCATCGCGTAAAATGCGGCTGGCATTTGTGCTGTTTTCGGATCACTGATGTTATCCAACGTCACAGAGTTGAAACTGTTGCGAATGACTTCTCTTCCATTGTCATCATCAACAGCTTCGTTGACTTTGAATAACATCAACAGCGATGCGAGAGTCATGATTTTCGTAGCGTTTAAACATTTTGCGAAAAATATTTTGATTAGCATGTCATTATATTCCGGTACAACTATCGAATTTATTGCCAATTTGATCAGGCTAATTTCGATTTTGTCCTTTTCCTCCATTTGCTCTGTTGAATCTTTCACCGTAACACGTTGCATTTTGGCAATGGAGTGCTTTCTCATTTCCACTTTCACTTTCCTTGGCAAGCCGAAATTTTTGTTGTGCCGCTTTTGCCTAACCATGGTGATCGATCGATCTATGAACGAACGAAAAAAAATGTAGAACAATTGAAATGTTTGTTGCAAACGATGGTGAGATTAAATCAAATCAATGCACTGACTGATCACTTACGATAAAAAATTACGGTAAAACTCACTCTTCAAATGCAAATTGATGTGCAACGCGTTTTCTGTTTACATTTGACAACGAATTAATGTAAAAAATTCCAATAAAATGTTTAAAAATTGAGTCTTTTAAAAATATTTCACGTTAATTACAGTTGATGATGCAATTGCAAAACAGCAACAATCGTCTCGATTGTTTAGAAAGCACCAAAGTACGGAACAACCTTTATGCTTGAAATCACAGCTATATCTGATCAAACATCATCCGCTGTTCTCTCACGCGCCAAAAAGTATATCACAGCAAATTTTATTTCGTTTTGTTGTGAAATTCAGAATGGAAATTCAAATATGTTGACACACACAACGCGTTGCTTCTAAGAATCAATATCACACTGATGCAACATTCGCAACAAGTTCACTCTTTCGATCGTAAGACTGACACAAATGATGATGAATTCTGATTTTTTACGTCGTTGGTTTGTGAATGTTCCGTTATTTAAATATAAAAACAGAAACAAACACAAAACTCACCGCGTAAACATATCTATTGAGTGAAAACACAAAAACACTATATTGAAATAACAAGAAAGAAACCGATTGTATGAAACGACTGTGATGCGATGCACGATGATTACGAGGCAAATTTTTGGATGTAAACAAATACTGTCGGCTTCGATGTGACACACACAGCAGCCAACTGTCAAAGGTTACACATATTCAAATACATTTCGAAAACATCTATTTTTTATATGCGTCAAATGAATAATTAGAATTGAAATATGAAATTAAAACTTATTGTATTGAGTCGGGTTCACATTATAGTGTAGAATATGGAATCTGTATTCTTTATTAGAAAATCTACCTTCTATTTGACACGAAAATGACCACCAAAATGGGTCAGAGCGTTACATTTTTCAACGTTAAAATGGATAAAAAACATTACAATTTTGTTGGCTGAGAATTTACGATGGAAACTGTTACCTTTCATCTGAAAACATCAGTTGGTGGTTTATGGTTCGAATTTCGAAAAAATAAAATAAAATAAAAATTTGACATGGACTGAGGCTCAAATACACAAACTTGACGTCTAAATTTCTAGATGCAGTAATCAATCATGTCACTGTCACAATCTGTTGTTGTTTTATTGTTAAATGTGGAAAACAGGCCATTTATTTTTCTTCCAGCTCAAATCATTGGTCAAGAAGCATTAATTTTGAATTGGCTCCAAACCAGATGAAACATTATGTATCAGTATTGTATTTTATTACGCGTCGATGACATGGTTCGCATGCTGACAGAACGTGAAGCATTTCATTATATGCGCATTGTGCTACATAAAAAAATTGTGGGTGTGGGATGTGATGCTACGAGCAGGAATAGTTTACACCTGAAAAAGTCCACAGCAAACATTTCATTTTTTACTTTTCCTACATTTTTTTTAATCAAACATTGCGATTTGAAACCAGTTTTTACGAATTCTTTTGAATCTTGCCATTTATGTTATAATATATACTTTATTTTGCGAATTATTCTGTAATAAGATTGGGCTCATTTCTGAAGATATTTATGCTTTTTATCTGTTTACAGATTCTAATGCGTCATTCCCACTCCTTTTTTGCATTCATCTCTGCCATACATACCAATTTTAGAATCTTACCGATAGACATATGCTTAAAGTTAACTACACAAAAGCGACAAACGGTTTTCTAAATTCAAACTAAAGAGGAAAAACATGTCAGAAAGTCTAATTATTTAACCACAAATTATTACTAAATAAACTCATTCAAGTTGAAGCGTGGGGGAGAAAAAGAGATCTCGTTCTTTCTTGCAGAATTCTTTGGTGTAATTAGCATTATAATAAGTCTATTGTTTAGTTTTTAATAGCCTTTTTTTGAAAAATTGTGATGAAAAAAAGCACCTGATTAACTATAGCATACAATTTAAGAGAAAGCAACTCGAACGAAAAAAAATTCTCGTAAGTACAATTTAAATTAATCAACAAATCATGGTGAGAAATGCTAATTACTCTGTTCAGTGTTCATATCATTTCCGTATTCAACATTTTATATGTGAAACATTTTGCCTGCAGTGAGGTGGGCCACAATCATTTATCCAATTTAATAGGCTTGTGAGGTGAATTGTTTTGACATTGCGCAAATAAGAATACATAAATCCGTTGAATTTATAAAATTTTAATGCTTCCATATGGAAATACATAATATGCATTGCTTTAATCTCCGTTTTTTTTTATTCTTCGTGCGAATCGTAGGTTTGAATGATAGATTACAATTTCCATCGAAAAATAATATTTTAAAATTTGATAAATGAAGAAACAATCAAGCAATAAATAATAAGCTAATGGTGCCATTAATTAATTTTTTATTGTATATCCGCGTGAATCACACAAGTCTTTCGATTTATTTCGTTGGAAATTTATATTTTTTTGCCACCTGTGAATATGTAAATCAAATAAAATTATTTCTTATTTTTAAAAATCAATTTCATGACAATCCGAAATGGAAGACGATGACAATAGAAAGCAATTGCTAAAGTTCTTATTCCGAATGTTTTAGATGTCAATTGAGATGTTCGGGAAAAAAAAGTTCGTGCGGAGGAAGCAAAACAAATGGAGGCCGATATTAAAACAATCACTAAACATTTCGAATTGAATCGGAATTTTTTGTCACCCAAATTTTGTAGACAATTTAACTGGGCGTTGAATTAATGGCCCTTTCAAACAATGTATTAGTATTCTTTCATTCCAATGTCAATGTCCAGGAATTAGTTTTTATGATTTTGTAATGATATTTAAAATTGTTGATCGTTTTCGATTTGTTGGGAGCATGGCGAAGATGATCGTTGGACATTTATTATCAATTATAATGATGAGAAAGATAGAAAAAGTTATATCAATACAATAAATGGTGTTAATCAACCAGTTAATATCAGTGCCACCATACGAAAAAGAACCGAATAACTCATTAAACTGACGACTGTTGATATAAATTCAAATTACATTTAGAAAAACTGAAAATCCTACCACAAAAAGACTGAGACTCGACCCAAATATTTCCAATGTAAGATTCAATGAAATTATCACTTGACATAGTCCATCCATGAGTGCTATTTCATTTAACTAACTATATTTTATCATTTATTTTATGTATGCAAACATTCGTTATGTTGGGCTAAGTTTGTCAATGACGATTTGTTATCTGTGCCAATTTTGAAATTCGCAATGCAATAAATGCAATTAGTGTGTTCAAAACGTTTATAATGTAAAACGAAAAAAAAATACAACGAACAACAACAAATCATGAAACAAGCCACTTAGCAATAGGATTCGGACCGATGCAATTAAATTGATGCCGGTAAATTAGTCTTAGAACATAATAAATAACGTTAAGTTTGTCATAGGGTCAATTATCTTGCTATCAATTTGCTAGTCGTGAGTCAGACAAATACAGCATTGGGAATGAAGCATTTAAGTGACATTTTATTTTGTGAACACAGAATTGTGGAATGCAATGTAAATGGTTTTTTGTGGGCAATATCATTTTGGATTTGCTTATTATGTATTTGCTTTTAGTTTTTGGTGTTCTGTTGTAGTTGGAGTTTTTTCTTCGGCATTGAGATTCAAATGCTTCTTTCGATTTCAATTCGTATTCATTACTCATCATATTAACTCATTGAATCGGTAAAATTTTCTGCACTCAACTTTGTTCGCTTGTTTGCCTATTCAAATTTTAAATCAGTGTTACTTGTTTTCATTTTAGAAAAGATGTTAAAAATTATTGCATTAAAACGTGATTTAATAACAATGCGTTCATCAAGTATTTTGGCAATTGCCACGACAAACATGTTTATAAAGTGCAATTTTTGTGTTCGAAACTCAATGAAGAATAAAAATGAAGGTAACAAAAGAATGAAGATAAAGAGTGAGAGAGAGAGAAAGAGAGAGAGAGAGAGAGAGAGAGAGAGAGAGAGAGAAAAGAAGCGGTAGAGAAAAAAAGAAGAAAGCAACTGAAAGAGAAACAACTTACTAACAGCAGCAACAACAAAGACGCCAACGTAAAGTAAATGGTAAAAAGTATACGAATTAACATAGAATATTGTGTAATAATAAACGGCAGCTGGGGCGGAGTTTCGATGCCTCTCTCGTGTAAAATTTTCTTTTTGCCAGAGCCAGTGCCACTCGTTCACTTCGGATTCTTTTTTTCACTTCTCTCGTGCCGTTGTTGTGTGTGAATCGTTTTTCATTGTCTTCATTTGGTACAAACAACCATACGTGAGTCTTTATCGCTTTATTCAGAATACTGTTCGCCAACTTGATGCTCTTCACTTCACGTCCATTTTCAAAATCAAGAAACATCGTCGCCAAATATTATGTCCAAATCATTGGCAATTATTTTATTACTGGAGAGTAAAAAGATCAAAACATATGTATTGGAATGCGCTAACATATTCTTCATCTTTTTTTTCTGTTCATGTTATCCATGATTTCAAATTGTTTTCTTTTTGCCTTTTGCTGATAATCGAACGCTCTAGAATAAAAATAACATATTGTATGCTCGCATAATGAAACGTCACTCAAAACCGTTGCATATCAAAGCGAAACGAAATTTTGTTACTAACACCTATCCTTATCCGAACAAAATGAAACTTACATACTTTTTATAAGAAAAAGTCCTTTTGTAAGAAAATATGGTTTCGATATGCGAGCACACAATATGTTATTTTTATTCTAGAGCGTTCAAATCTTGAGAAAGAAATATATAAGTAGCTTTATAATAATTATCCAAGTAGCTTTTTCTGTCTCTCTTCGTATGCATATGGATATATAAGAATCATAATTGTACCGATGTACATATAGAGAGAGAGGAGCTCACGAATCTTAATATGACATTAACACGTACTCTCTGGTTTTACTCAAATAAAACAAAAAACCGAATGTTTTTCAAACACCCAATGAGAATGGGCTCAATATAAACGTCTGCTTCTGTGTGTATGGCAAAGAAGAGTTAACCTATAATCATCTGAACAGTGTCAGGTTCAAGAAGATTTTATTGGATGAATATAAACTGACATGCAAATACCATGCAAATACTATTTCCATCAAACATAATTGAGTATGTATATACGTACACTTCCTTGTACTTGAGAAGAATTTAAAAAAAAAATGGCAACAACTATTAAGTTCGTTATAAATACGATTGGAAGCGAATTAGAGTTTGCAGGCAAGCTCGTGATAGCAAACACTGTCATCAAACAGATTAATTACACTGACTAGTAGCTACCATTTGACCATAGCAAATACGATTTAATGCAATCGCCTTGGTCGCCATCACTTTTATAATCATGATTTATAATGCTTCGAAATCATGTTGGTAATACAGAGATGTCAAAAGGATTTCTTCAGATACATTGTAATTGGTTTACTGTTTTGATGTTTTCATTCTCAAATCGAATTGAGTAGGATGTAAACATCGGCAAAGTAAGGACAAAAAAAAACATATCAAGCTGTAAGTGTTTGTGTTTGTAAATTTGCACGTTAAACGTTGCAGTTTAAAAAAAAAGAGCAACTACATGATGGAAAAACAATCAATTCGAATGTACGAATAAGAAATGAAGATGGACAACAAAACAAAAAAGAAATGTGCATACAGTGCAACGGTTCAGACAAAGACGTAAGCATGATACGAAATATGCAAGCCAGATAAATAACGAACGATTGAAGAGCAAAAAAACACACACACAGTATGTAGTGTAAGTGGCAGAACAAGATCGTACACATCCCAGCACACACAGCAAAGAGGAAAAAAAACGATACAAATTTCAATTTGCGTAGCGTGAATTAAAACCAAGAAAGTCAAGTCAATATATATATATATATTTCTCTTTGGTTCTCAGTGTACAATGCAGTGCTGGTTGGATCAATGTTAATATCATGATTGGGCGCGTTTATATTGTACTGGAAGGGCGGTAATAATTGATAATTATCTTTTGACTTGAACTACTCGTCAAAAACACAACTACTGCATGTGTTGATTCGTAATTTTTTGTATCGACATCGATGCACTCATTTGAATCGATCTTTAATATGGGAGACTTGCAACAAGTGGAGGAGCTACAACTTCAGTTGTTACACAATTTTTTTTACTCATTATAACTAGTACAAAATGGTACCGGTGTATCGATTTTATTCTTCGACGAACCACAAATTCGAAAAATAAAATGTCGTCCTTGTAACCGTAGTTTCGCATAAACTGCATACATTTGGTCATTATATCAAAGGGATGCACCGTCTCGTTTTAGTTTCTTGTCATTTACATTTTTAATTTTGTACTTTTGCAGTTTGAGAAATTCTTTATTTATTTTGAAAATGAATCCGAAATCCAAATCTTGAAGCCATAAAAAGCAATTTACTGTGCATATGTCCAGACATTGAATTTGGAACGTCCAAAGCTATCAGCACCGCACCTAATCCATATAAATTTTCAAGTTCCACACCTCAATATACAAGAAACTGCGACACATACAAGAAAAATGTACTCAGTCCGTGCCGCCTTAAACAACTCTAGGTTGACGTAAAGGATGCTTTCGTCAGTCCCACAGAATGATTATCGAATGTTCTAATCGATGTGCAAAATGTGTATTTTGTTTTATTGCAAATTAATTGAATAACAAAATGTCGATGCAGTATATTCAAATGTTCATTTCAATGCCAATTTGTTAAATCCATTCAGAATTGCATTTAGCTAAATGTAATTCGATTTTTGCTATGATCAATTGTTCACTCTTCTATATCGAATTCATTTCTTTACCTATTCGTTTAAAAGATGTCACTTTAGTTTGTTCATTTCGACAGGAAATCGCATTTAATTCGAAGGCACTTGCAAAACAAGCAACATTTTGCGGGAGGTAATATGATGTGAACAAATATGAACGACAACGACAAAAAATCATCGGAAAATGATTTAATATTAATTTATATGTTTCATCTTACCTTAAAGAGCATTTAATTTGTCAAGTGTACACACAGGCCACAGGTTGCTCTGTAATAACGATCTAGTTTTAAATGACTCGCTTTCCTTTTGTTTCACAAAATAAATTCTATACAAAAAATATTTAAAAATAAATAAAATATATGACATTTATGCCATGCCACCCGTTACAACCAATTGCAGTGATTGAATGCTATACAGCATGCTGCATCCATCCAATGGATATTCATAGTCAAAGTGAATCGTAAAGTGCCATGGAACAAAACAAAAAACATGCACAAAATGAAATCAAAGGAAAAGCATTTCAATTCGATTGCATTCGCCGGTATGATGAGTCCGTTGAAGAGACTCGGCGAAACCACTGCTTATCTGTAAACTAGAGTGCTGAAGGCCGATCATTGTGACCTTGACCAATAACGACAATAACAATAATAATAACAACCGCAAAAAGAAATCTTATCATTTCGTTTGACAGCAATAATTTAACAAAAATTAAATGAAATGTAAACAGATACATATATATATATATATGTGTGTGTCTTGTCCCCCATTCTAAATGTTACATACAAAGCGGTAGGATTTGTGATGTTGTAGACCATTTTAAATGTTTTAACCACCAACAAATCAACGAGGTAATGTCATTTTTTTGAAAGAGATGAGCTCAATAAATACAACTATATGTAAGATTTATGTATCATATGGTGGTGTTGTTGTTGTAAAAATATGAGAATACTTTTGAAATGACAAACAAATAATTCACGAAATGAGTCAAAACATTGAACTGATCGCGTTCATTGATCATGAACATAAATTTTAAAATGCGAACCAGATTATCAACCGAGTTTTCTCATTACATATCGTTCGAACATTTTATCTGATTCAATGCCATAACTTTAAAACGTTATTCCATCGCTGTGTACAGAAATGCGTACAAAGCATTTTATTCATTTGATTAAATGTTCGAATTGATTTCACACATGGTGAACTAATTTCGCCAGATATCAACCGATGTCATTTAATTTCGATGCATTTCCGTGCTGAATAATATAAATACGATAGCAAAATAAATAAATTGGTTTGCTTAAATCACATCGATACGACATGTTTCAATTATTTTTCTCTCTCTATCTCTCTCTGTCTCTCTATCTGTCGTCTAACAAAGCAATATCAAATTACGACCATTTCTTCGCATCGCATGTGCCATCACTACATACTGCACACGTCGTTTGCGTTGACAAAGAGAACACTTGGTCAGTTTTCAAAAAAAAAAACAAAGCACATTTCATTCCCTCTTTGCCACATTCTAACTGAAGATTTAGAATGGAACAACCGAATGAGAATATCAATGTTAATGTTTTGTCACAACTTATGAATTTATGTGAATTGAACAAAACCTGAATAGAAAACCAGAGCGAGCTCACGTGTACAGTGTACACTTTATGTTCGATACAAAAATTGACCGACGTTTATTATTTACCACAATCGGGAACGATGCAAACGAAACAAAAAAAAATAAATAAAAACACTGTAGATGGGAAAATTACAATTATTTATAGTTTACAGACAAACCTATTTCCGATATTGCATAAAAATAGCGTTCATTCGAGAACATCGCAAATCCATGCAGATTTTTCTGCCAATTCAAATCAAAGTGGATATGTCTATTAAATGTTATCTTCTGTATGCAATAAACAATGACAATGTTGTAAAGATAATTTTCACATTGATTTATGTTTATTATTTCATATATTGCAGACCCACCAACGACCTCTGTCTTTCAATAGCAACTGCGTTGGAATGGGTTTCATTTCAACTGTCAGTTGTAATAGGTTATTTTGAATGCGCCACAATGATCCATTTAAACGAAACATCCAGAATGTGACAAAATATTACCTTTTAGTTTGATTGACAAGTTAAAAATAAACCGTTTTTTTAGTTACAAATGAATTAATGCTGAAAAAAATAATAAAAATAACCATAATTCCATATATGCGTCACGTTCAATAGCATTTGCCGGTCTTCCTGTATGGTCTTGTATGCAATTATTGAACCCTAACAAATGTCAATAAATAGCTTTTGTACGACAACGATAAGTATTGTTTATTTACAATTTTTGAAATACTTTTCCTCGAATCTATTTGAAATTATATAAAAAAGATAACGTCTTGTGAAAGAAAGTAATTGTCACTTTGGTTTGTTCATTCATTTCGACAGGAAATCGCATTTAATTCGAAGGCACTTGCAAAACAAGTAACATTTTGCGGGAGGTAATCCCAAGGCAAAATTATTATTCCATTACTCTACAATTCCTGATCCATTCCTTCGATTCATTTTCTATTCTGTTCCATTACGCATTGATTAATTTCCATTTTTTCCATTCTTTTCTTCTGATCAACTCTAGGTAATTGTCACACAGGTAAATTCACAATATTTGTCAAGCCAGTCGAATTTAAACCAATTCACAAACAAAAAAAAAACATTTGTGTTTTTGGGGTTATTCATACAGATAAATTTATTGTAAACAAAATAAATAGAATATATTTTTTTATGTGCATACGTGTCAAAGAGGCAACAGATTTATTTTTTGTACGTAATAACTTCAATTTCATTTTTATCATTAGAATACATTTTGTTTGGAACAGAACGAATACCTCTGTGAGATAACATTTAAGCATTTTTAATCATGTCGACAAGAGTTTTAGTGACTGGTGGCACTGGTTTGGTCGGAAGTGCAATCAGACATGTTATCCAAACAACCGAAAAACGCAACGACGAAGAATGGATTTTTGTTGGCTCTAAAGATGGTGACCTTACGTAAGTTTAAGGTCCACTTTTGTTTTTTACAAGTTCTTAAATTAAAAATCAACATTTGATTTTTTCAGAGATTTACAATCGACCCGAGAGCTCTTTGAAAAGTATAAACCAAACAAAGTTATCCATTTGGCAGCTATGGTTGGTGGCTTATTTTACAACATGAACAACAATTTAGATTTTTTGGTATAATTTTCTATCATCTTAAGACTGAACATTTAATTATTTGTATTAATTTCATTTTATTTCATTTCCAGAGAAAAAATATGCTGATTAATGATAATGTATTACTGGTGTGCCATGAGATCAACGTGAATAAAGTCGTTTCGTGTTTATCTACATGCATTTTCCCCGATAAAACCACATATCCGATTGATGAAACAATGGTAATTTGGACCGGTTCAGAGGAAAAAATAACTTGAAAAATATCCTTTATATTTCAGGTTCACAACGGCTTGCCTCACGATTCCAATTTCGGTTATAGTTATGCAAAACGTTTAATTGATGTACTGAATAGAGGTTATTTTGAGCAACATAATCGTTTATACACATCGATCGTACCGTGTAACATTTACGGTCCGAATGATAATTTTAATCCAACTGCAAGTCACGTAATACCTGGAATGATTCATCGTTTGTACAATATAATTAACGATAACACCGTTGATACGCCGCAAGAAGAGCGCGTATTCACGGTTTGGGGCAGTGGAAAACCACTGCGTCAATTCATCTATTCACTGGATCTAGCCAAACTTGCCGTTTGGACATTACGGGAATATGACAGTGTATCGCCAATTATTTTATCAGGTATGTGATCAAATCACATATGTTATACGGTTGTTATATTTATACATTTTTATTTTTGTACATAGTCGACGAAGCGGATGAAGTAACGATTGAATTTGTGGCTAGATCAATAGCCAAAGCATTCGATTTTAAAGGTCGCATCGAGTTTGATACAACCAAAGCAGATGGACAGCATAAGAAAACCGCATCGAATACTAAACTTCGCTCATACCGGCCAGATTTTCAGTTCACTAAATTCGAAGAGGCCATAAAGTACACAGTTGATTGGTATCTTCAAAATCAAGATAAAGTCCGAAAATAATGACAGAAAAAAATCAAAAATAAACTTCAAAGATCGAAATAATAGTGAATAAAACATTTCGATTTTAATGAAAAATAAATAAATGAATTTGTTATGCAAAAATGAATGGTTTATAAAACTCAGACAAAACACATAAATTCGTAAATTTGTTTTATAAGCTTTAGAAGTTTTTATTCTTTGTATACAAATCTTTATTGTAATCTTGTTTGAATAAAGTAAATATGAAAAATATCTCATTATGATTGAAAAAAGTATGAAACTTTTATTTTGTTTTTCAACATTAATACACTTTATTGGTATCAAAAATACTCATATACGTATTTCGGAAACAATGCTTCCTTCTTCAGTGAGTTAGATGAACAAACTGATTTTTAAAACAAAAATGAAAAGACAACAAAAGCAATGGTATATTGTAAAAAGTAAATGAAACTATGTTCAATAAAAATAATCAAAGTTAACCAAGAACTACACATCAAATTTGCCAAAAATGGAATTATAGATCGGTCCGTCGTTTTCATTCATACTGTTGTTTTTGTTCCTGTTGATGTAATACGACTCATATGCATCAAGTTCATTGCACTTGTTAACTCGGTGTAAAAGTTTCAAGTTTGCTATGCTCATTGTGTGACCGTTTTCAATCATATGTTTGGCTACGCTTGATTTTTCTGGTTCTTCATTGGTGATGTGTCGGTCATGTTCACCGTATCTCATGATTATAGCTCTCCTTGACTGGCCAATGTATTCTTTGTTGCAATCATTGCATTTGATTGCATAAATGCCCGAATTGTGATGTGCTTCAATTTTATCCTTTGATCCACCAATTGAATGTTTGAGTTTCATTTCGCTGAATTCACCAATTTTTATGTTATGTTGATTGAAAATTGGTTTTATACCCCCTATCAGTTCTGGATGATGTGCGAAACCTGACCATGTTTCAGCTACTTCGTCGCTGGTGATGAGACTCAAATTGGTGTGATTCCGAAGTTCTCGTTTCCTCTTGTGTGCAACAATCAATTCATTTATTAGATGATCGGTATATCCATTTAAATTTGCAATATCTTTAATTCGTTTAATTTCGTTGTTGAATCTTTCCTCATTCATTGGAACATTAAATGCTCTATATATCATAGAGTGGAAGCATGATATTTTATGTTGGAAAGAATGGAACGAATCAGAAGTGATGTAACGTCCGGTGTTGGTTGGCTTACGGAAAATATCAAATTCCAAAATTCCATCATTTCGAATGCTCCAACCGAACGACTAGCAATTTGGCTTTTGGAAAAATTCAAATCTTTACCAATTCAATTTGAATCAGCATCGGTAAAAAACTCGATCGATTTGGTGAATAAAATCAAAAACACAAAAATTGCAGACAATGAAATTCAAGTTTCTTTTGATGTCGAATCTTTGTTTCCAAATGTTCCAATTGATATAACGCTACAAATTCTTCATGATTGGCTTGTGCAAAATGGAGTCCATGACATCGAGAGAGCTGAAATTATCAATTTAACTAGGATTTGCATGAGTGAAAGTTGGTTTCAATTCAACGGAAAGTTTTACAAACAAAATTTCGGTTGCTGCATGGGATCACCATTGAGTCCATTTTTGGCGAATCTATTCTTGTCGAACTTTGAAACAGAGATGAAGAAAAATGCATATTTTCCACGTATTTGGCACAGATATGTTGACGATGTATATGCCGTCATCAAAAAACATCTTTTGAGGCAATTTCTAAATCAACTAAACAACACTAAATACACTACAATCAAGTTCACGCATGAAGTAGAGGATAATGGTAAAATCAATTTTCTTGATTTAGTCTTAATTCGAAATGATGGAATTTTGGAATTTGATATTTTCCGTAAGCCAACCAACACCGGACGTTACATCACTTCTGATTCGTTCCATTCTTTCCAACATAAAATATCATGCTTCCACTCTATGATATATAGAGCATTTAATGTTCCAATGAATGAGGAAAGATTCAACAACGAAATTAAACGAATTAAAGATATTGCAAATTTAAATGGATATACCGATCATCTAATAAATGAATTGATTGTTGCACACAAGAGGAAACGAGAACTTCGGAATCACACCAATTTGAGTCTCATCACCAGCGACGAAGTAGCTGAAACATGGTCAGGTTTCGCACATCATCCAGAACTGATAGGGGGTATAAAACCAATTTTCAATCAACATAACATAAAAATTGGTGAATTCAGCGAAATGAAACTCAAACATTCAATTGGTGGATCAAAGGATAAAATTGAAGCACATCACAATTCGGGCATTTATGCAATCAAATGCAATGATTGCAACAAAGAATACATTGGCCAGTCAAGGAGAGCTATAATCATGAGATACGGTGAACATGACCGACACATCACCAATGAAGAACCAGAAAAATCAAGAGTAGCCAAACATATGATTGAAAACGGTCACAAAATGAGCATAGCAAACTTGAAACTTTTACACCGAGTTAACAAGTGCAATGAACTTGATGCATATGAGTCGTATTACATCAACAGGAACAAAAACAACAGTATGAATGAAAACGACGGACCGATCTATAATTCCATTTTTGGCAAATTTGATGTGTAGTTCTTGGTTAACTTTGATTATTTTTATTGAACATAGTTTCATTTACTTTTTACAATATACCATTGCTTTTGTTGTCTTTTCATTTTTGTTTTAAAAATCAGTTTGTTCATCTAACTCACTGAAGAAGGAAGCATTGTTTCCGAAATACGTATATGAGTATTTTTGATACCAATAAAGTGTATTAATGTTGAAAAACAAAATAAAAGTTTCATACTTTTTTCAATTATTTAAAAATACACGTAAATCACCAAATTTCATACAACTCATTATGATCCAAAAATAATTCTATTTGGATGAATGCACGCACCACCTTGACTAATTCTGCTAAATATGCTTACTGAGAATTTATATGATGACATTACATTTTGTAAACATAAACTGAACATTTTGACAACATCATAGACTAATATGCTAGGGGGGAGACACCGGTGAATCCATTCACCTTTTGTGTCGGATTTGTACGATTAGTATGATTACAAAATTTTACAAAGATTCACATTCGATTCAATTTTTGATTTAAATTGCTATAATTCCAATGATTTGCACAGATTCACAGACTCGTAAAGATCCACAGATTCATTAAATATTCACATTTTTGTGTTTTTTCTTTTGACGTACAAACGTATGTTGATTTTATAGAAAATAAATATGCTAGCAAACATAAATTAAAATAAAATTCAATTATTTTTGTTTATGCAATGATTTCATTTTTACCGACTTTTAACAATGGAATAAAATTTAACTCAACAATCAACACATTTTATATTATTGACAAAGTGACTTTGTCAAAGTCCCTATGATTCATGAGATTCTTCGGATTCTTCGGATTTGTGAGTTTTGTGTTTTTTATTATAATTCTAATGGAATCGTTGGAATCAATGAAATTATACAATTGAGTATTTTAACCTAGATTTTTCATTTTGAATTGGTGTATGAAAAATATTGACATATTGAGTTGGTTCCAGCATTGTGTAAAATTGCATTTTTCCCATGGATTCTGACCAGACAAAAGAATGGAAAAAATGGAAATTAATCAATGCGTAATGGAACAGAATGGAAAATGAATCGAAGGAATGGATCAGGAATTGTAGAGTAATGGAATAGTAATTTTTAAGTAAGTATGTCTTAAAAGATCCCTCGAACGTAAAAATTGTTCAATTTTCCTAGGATTTTCCATACTTGTTAAAAAAATTCGATTTTTCTAGGGGTTTTGAGCATCTTTTTGGCGATTACCCCTCCCTTAAATCGTCAACTCCAGAATCTATGATTTTTCCACAATTTGCAGTAGAAAATTTACTTCAAAGCAATGGACCACTAAAAATAGATTGATTGCTGAATAAACGTTTCAGGTTGGCGCCGTCAAAATACCAGATATATTTGTCGGACGGTCCTTGAGGTGGAATGTTGTTTTTTTTATCAAAAACATATGTTTGGCGTTTCGAACGCTTCGTCTTAAATGGGCGGAAGCGGTGTAGCCAGTTTAAAATATACTTGCTATTGCGAAGTTTTATTAAAAACAAGGCCATTCATTTTGAACAATATTTTATCTCCCCACATCATATTTATGACCAACAAAATCATTTGTTCACGTAATACACGTACGTCGATGAAATTATTCCGTTGCAATTTTTCAAACAGAGTGTATACGTATTTTAAGTATCGAATAAAATGTTATACATTTGGGAGTAAAAAACCACAGGCAGTAAGGAATTCACAACAATTATTTACAACAAATGGCTATTTTTAGTCAAACATTCAATGTTGTTGTTGTTGCACATTTTTTCTAATGATAATACAATACAATGTTTATATTTGATAATTTGAACATTTCATCAGTTAATTAAAAATTCTTCACTGTAATTTGACGTGTGTTGATTTGATGTCGTTTATGTTTGTTACATTATTGTTCAAGGTTTTTGATGGTTTGTTCAAAACTTTGTTGTTCTTTGGAAATATTTATCATCAATCACAATTTTCCCTTAATTTAACTACAATAAGTGTAATTTAAATTAAAGCCGCTGCTGAACATTTCGATCATTATTTGAACAATTGATTGCGCTGTTCTTGATATTTTTCATTGTTCAATCGTTGTCTGTTACGTGTGTCAATGGTTTTCGTTCTACTGCTTTATTATGTGCATTGACATTCAACTTAAAGGCAAAGCATTCGTGGTATCATTTTTGTGGCCATTGTTAATTGATGTGAGGTAATTTATTTCGTGAGGTAATTTTTTCATCCTCAAACACAAATACACGCTCAATGTTTTCACAAAAGTAAAAATAAATTTCATGACAATTTTGCATATGTTTTATTTTTGCGCAGTAACTGAATTTTAATTAGACAAAGTTGACAGTGAAAAATCACAAAATACCTTCTTTTCTGTTTAAATTGAACAAAGGAAAATTGATAATGATAATTCGCATGTAAAACTATTTGGTATATAATGTATATTTATGATTGTTTCACTTGCCAGACTCATGTCATTTTTAAATGTTTAACATGTAAAAGATCAAAACAACAGCGAAAAAGATGATTCATTTACGTCTCATTTATCACATTCTTTTGACAAAAACAAAAATTCACAAACATTCGTGAGCAACATTCTTGCTCTACAATCACCATTATTAGTGTTTTTCGTGCGATATTTTTAGATTTGTGAGAGGATATATTTAAACGACTAATCAACGAACGATTCTTGGTATTGAAATGCATTCAATGCATTCGAATTGTATATGCCATTATGATGATGAACCATAAAATCGTATCTAAGTAGGTCAAATTGTGTGGTGGTCATGCGCTAGACTGACCGAAATCTATATCATTTACATGTTTTGAATGAAGTTTAAATTGTAAAAAAAATTGTCAATTCACAAAAGTGGCGAGCGTTTCATTTCTATGTTGTTGTATTAATGATATATGCAACAAGTTTTTGTTTTTGTTATTGCATGGACAATTTATTGGATTTAGTCGATTAGAGAATTTTCTCGCCCACTTGTTAGCAATTTTCCAAACAATTTACTCATCAAAATGAGTAGTTGACCAAACCTAATCAACATAACATATATTTAAAATGTGCTATTTTGTAGTTTGATGATCTAAAGCGCGTGTAGTATTCGAGACGGTTAAATTATTCGATAGCAAAACATAATAAACAAAAAAAAATACCATACAACCATATCGTATGCGTGTATATGATCAAGTCTCGGCGCGCGTTTACAACGCGAATTCATTCTTTTATCGTATGAACGCATCGGTTTGTACAACTATGTTGAACAAAGACAGATGTGTATTCATAACGGCAAACATTTGTTTGGTGATTCGATGCGAATCCTTCATATTGTTTTCAAACAGTCTACCAAAGTATGCCAAAGCTGTTGGACGGTTAAGAATCAATCAAATAAAGTACATACAAAAAAACCTTAATATAGTTGAATTTTTTTTGTAAGCAAATTTATTTCTAAATATTGTTGAATTTATGTGCAAACATTAAATTCATTGGCAAACCAAAAGAAACTTGATTGGTGAAAGTTTAAATTAAACATACCAATTGTAAACAAGAAAATTATAGAAAAATTAGTGAAAATGAAAATGGTTGATTCAGACATGGTGGAATCTGTGACATGCAATGATGAATGTGTTGACAAAAATGCATTGGAATTACCGCATCAACATAAATCAAGTGACATTCAGGATCTGTTGAAAGCACACAACGAAGAACCGAGGTACATATGTAATTTAGTTAGATCAAATATTGCTGATAAATAACGTACAAAACATGTTTTAATACCGATATGAATTTAGCACAAAATTCGTACTCGCTTGACGTATGCATCCACATTCCACATACACCTTTGATCTAAAATATAAAAGCAATAAATCTTAAAAAACCACTTGAATTTTGACATTGTTAAATTGTATCGACGATATTGTTTGAATGGATGGTATTGTTTAAAACCTACATCATCACTAAGATGTGCTCGCAAATATCGTTTTATGTTATATGCATTTCTATAATTATAAATGTGGCTCATTTGAATTTGATACTGATGAATGTCTTGTCGCAAAATGTATCGCCGAAAATGCTCTCTCACCGATATTTCCATAAGCGAAAATTCTTCTAACTAAGTAATTTTCATTCTCAACTACACATTTCGGATGTTATCAATGGTGGTTGCCAAAATTTACAAAAATATTCATATTCAAGGCTGTGCATCTTATTCCATAGGTATTTGAGTAGGCAATGAGAATGTAATCTGTTGTGCTAGACGATTATTTGGTTATTATCATCCGAATATTAAAATGTTCGTCTTTAAAAGGTCATACGCAAACATTCTGTATGTAAAAGAACGACTTGAAACCATTATTAAATATAATGACTCATTAACGCCATAGAATAATTTATCTATAATGACGTAGCGTTCATCTACAAATTTACATGCAAAGGTTCACTTTTCATTTCAATCAAACATCATTATATATTATATTTCAGTCTCGTCTAATAATATGCATAATTGATTAATACAAATTTTAACGAAATTTCTTTTCGACAGAAAGTGAATCGAATGAGTCGAAATTCCTTTGGCTTCGTTTCAAAAGACATATTTTTCTCACATATTTTGACAATTTTTATATGTATTTAGCTTATTAAAGACATGTGAACGAGTGATGTGGTGACCGTTGCCATAAAAATGGGTTTATCATAGCATTTCATATGTATAAATCACCACACTCTAACTCAACGTTATTCATTCAAGAAACAAAATGGAGCAAATTATTTGAAAATGTGGTCAAATGTGCAGTTGAAATCGCTATACACATTAAGTCCAAACAAAATATGTGAATAATTAAAAAAGAAATTGTTGAGTTATTGGGCCATAAATTAATATGAAGATTTTAAATCATATTTTTTGACAGGCCCACATGTTTTCTATCATGGTCACTTATTCGTTGCAAATATTCTGGATTAAACTAATTTTCCAGCATTTTGAATAAAATGAAAAATGAGCCAAGCAACATTAAAATTACATTGAGCTTGGAAATTATTACCACAAACTGGGACATTCAAATGCTATTTGTCATGCAAACGGATTTTAGTAAATTGATCCATTATGCCATAGTCATAAATGTTATTGCTACTGAATTTCGCCATAATGATGAGCAAATATGAAATGTGCACTTGATAAATTACGTGCCACTTTGACTCGAACTGGCTGCTCTTCACATTTACAATTGAAAAATCAATGAGTATGCTACATAAACATCTAGTAGGTGCTGGATACGAACCGCAGTTGGTAGGTTAATTCAAGCCAAAGTCTGGTATTTAGGTCAGTCCTGTTCAACCTGCTTAATTAATTAAACGATTAACATTTTTTTTTTGCAATACAAGAATGCAGATCATGATATTTTTGGGCTTAAAACTAACCAAAAAATGAGTTAAAACATAGCTATGACGTGAGTCATATTCAACAAAAAAACTGATTTTCACTGAATATTAATATTGACGCGTCGATGGCCTTAAAGGAATTCCAAGCGACGCATATTTTCCGCTCAAACTCCGCGATACTCGAGAATAGTTTCCGAACGAGAAAATAATAGCCAAAAATTATACATAGTTAACGGATCTATGCATAGCGTTCGTCGTAAACAAACAAATATATAGACACACATGCGCGCATCTACAGCTAACACAATTGAATAAATAAAAACAGTTTAAAAGTCACCACGACAAAACCGCCGTATCTAGTAATTAAGCGCTGCCGATAAAGTACACCATATGAAAATGAAAAATTCAATGTGATAGGCATACATACATATTTATATATATTAGGGTGGGTCAATTTGTAGGGGGCCGAAGAAACCTTCAATTCCACATCGCGATTCTGGTTCTATGGGTCATAACAAGCATTTTTGCCCAAAGAACCATAAGTCTAAAATAAATTTCGAGCCATCGGACAAAATACCCCATAGTCTCATAGTATTTGACCCCAAATCTTACTTTTTGTGAAAATTGTCTCGGAGCGCATCTGGAAAAAACACTTTCTAAAGTTTTTTGCCATGCTGAAGCCGAATTTTGAATTTCAGGTCAAAAAATCATGGGTTAAGGGGCTATGACCCCTGACCCCCCTAAGGGGGGAGTTGGAAGGCGGCTAACCAAAAAAAAAATCTCTCATCATTCTGAACGACTTTGTAGAACATAATTTTTTGATCCGATGATAAAATCGACACCAACAAAAAAAATTTGGAAAAAAAGGAAGTAAACGACCATTTTTCCAGTTTTTGTATGGAAATCGTATCAAAACGTTATTGTATCGCAAAATAAATGTCGACCCCAAAAACCCCCGCATTTGGCTAGATAAAAAATAATGTTTTTTTTGCCTTTTTAATGCAATATCTAAATCGATTTTTAAATATTTTGGAAAATATCTATGGAGAAAAATCCGCTGGCTCGAAATTCATTTTAGACATATGATTCCTTGGGCAAAAATGCTTGTTATGACCCATAGAACCAGAATCACGATGTAAAAAAAAAATTGATGCAAAAAAAATTGGCCCACCCTAATATATGACTAAAAACATTTTATGCGAGTCATATAGGTACGCCAATACTTTGTATACTTGGAAATTCCTTCGTGTCAAATTAGTGGGCGACTGGGGAATGTGCAAAACAAATGAAACAAACTGAGCGAAAATATACGAATACGAAAACAGCACCGAATTATTTCGTTCTTTCTGTTCACATTGGGTTTTGATTCAGTTTTTTTTATTCGTATTCGATCTTATTCGGGCTCGTAGAACGATCTCATTGTGCCACCTCTCATCAATTCAAGCATCGCGTGCGCTCTTTCAATACGAAATGGACATTTATTTTTACGTTGTTATTGTATATATGGTAATGATGCAGGCCAAATATGAATAGCACACAGCTTGATGACGATTTAAATTTTCCAATTCATGACGACTAACAAGTTCATTGCGTACTAATTTTGGCATTTGGCAAAATATTTACGCACGCAATGTTTGTTTTGAGTCGCCAATTTTTCGAGTGGAACGGATGAATGACATCTAAAGGTGATAAGACAAAGAAATGTGCTTTCACATAAGGACAAAAAAACAATTATACATTTCATTCACTCTTTTATTTGCACAAAGTCCACAAGAGCTTGTGTAATTTACATCATTGAATTTATATTGAAATTTTTCTGAGACGCAAAATAATATATATCTCTTTATATATTTCAGCTAAATTAATGATAATGATTATTATTTCACATTTTCCGTGCATTTTCATTAAGGACGACCCATTTAAATGTATAAATACTTGCTACGCAATTATTTTTTAGGAGATTGTCTCACATGATGGCTGTATATTTTCCGAATTTTTTTAAAATGTAAATCGAAGAAAAAAAATTCAATTATTTTTTTCATTTTTTGCGACTTTTTCACCATTTACATGGGAGACTTGTATGAAAAACACGGAAGACCGCTGAAATGACCAATACAAAATATGTACGGACGTGTGACATTGGTGAAAAATAAAAAAAATGAAAAAAATAATCAATAATTTTTTTCTTCGATTTACAAATACTACTCAATTTTCTGTATCATCTGGTGAAATCAGAATGAAAAAAATCGCATTACTTATCATCCAAATCAAGATCTGGATTTTTTTCACTTTTAGAGTGCTCTTCGAGTTTTTCATATAAACTTGCCTTGTGACACCTATTGAATAGTGAGAAAATTGGCATTTCGGGCAACCAATAGAAGTTCGAAATTAGTGAGCAACAGTGAAACATTTCATAACAAACTGCATCATAACTGAAGTTGCAGTTTGTTTCTCATTATTTTATTGTTGTTCTCTAATTCTCAACTCTTAAACGTTGACATTTGATTTACATTCCAGTTTAAGTTGAAGATTTTTTCTCAACTTCTCTGAAGGTATCTTTGTTTCTCAACGGTTCATTTAAATGTCGTACAAATGGGTTCATCATGAAAGTGTGAAAAATCTTTTCTCGAGTACTTCTGCTATTAAATTAAAGAATATTTCGATGCCAAAGGTTGAACATATTTTTTGGTCTCGACCTTTACGCCGCTTGAAAGGCTTGAAAAATCGGACAAATATTATTTTGAACTAACTTAATAAAATACTTTATTTTGGATTACTTTCGGCCGACTATTAAGTTGAAGAATAAAATAAAATTTTGTCAAAATTCAACCTTTTTCATTTCCATTCTAAAAACTTTCCGAACAACCTAGTAATAAGGACGTATTTTAAATTTACGTTTTTTGATGTGATTTTTTTAATAATTTAATTATTTTTTATTTCTCTATTAGATTAAAGCCACAAATTCGTTTGCCTGGGATCTCCGAAATTTTTCCATCGTTATATTTATGCGGTGCCGGTGTGGCAATTCCAGTATTTTTAGAAAAAATTGGTATAACATGTGTGATAAATGCAGCGCCAGAATTACCTAATACGCCATTGCCATTGGACGCCAATGGCTCAACGCCAGTGTATCTTCAAGTTCCCGTATTGGATAAAAGTGATATTAATATTGCCGAATATTTCGACCAAGTATCCGATCTCATCGAACGTACTCGGCAAACAAATGGAAAAACCATGGTGCATTGCATAGCAGGTGTAAGTCGATCGGCAACATTAGTCTTAGCATATTTAATGAAATACATGAATATTTCACTCAAAGATGCATACGAATTTGTTCGAGCAGCTAGGTAATTACAACATTTCAATATAATATGCTAATAAAAGTGCGAAACACATTTTGTACCAACGAAAAAGAAAAAATATTTCTGCAACAAAGAACCATATACATTTCAATCTAAATTTTTGAAAATATTTCTTTGAAATTTATAGGCCACAGATTCGACCGAACACATCATTTGTACGACAGTTAATTGCTTATGAGGAAAAACTATTTAAAAAGACTACCGTCGCAATGATATTTAAAGAATCACTTGGATGCGAAGTTCCCGACATCTATGAGACGGAGTATAAAGCTTTGGAAATATTTTACAAGAAGCACCGCCACCTAAAGCTACGATAAACTTTCATTTTTTTATATTTACACACATATTTCAAATGAAAAGCAACTTATAGTGATACAAATACTAATATTATCATGTATTTTTTAGTTTTAACTTATTTTTTCAATAAATAAATAATAAATGAACATGAGAATGGTTTTCAATGGGTTTTGTGATTTAAAAAAGGCGTAAATAAAAGAAGGAGAAGCATGAACGCATTTTTTGGCGGTAAATATAGTTTATTAGTTAAATTGATTCATATTTTCATTTTTAATCCATCAATAAATGTGGTTTATTTTTTGATGGCGATAATGAAAATATTAGATTCATTTAAGTTATAAATATTTTACAACTTAAAGACGACTCAAATACATTCTTGCACGGAGGTTAACATAATCCATAAGCTGTTCAACTGGACCAACGGCTGAAACGACTGGACATTTGTTGCTTACGTATTTGTCGGTGATATCACGCACCGTTTGATTTGAAACATTTTGAATGGAAGCAACCACTTCACTCAATGGGGTTCGATGTCCAACCGCTAAAATTGATCGTCCAATATCTTCGCAATTTGCTTTTGAACCTACGATAAAAAAAATGTGGAAAATCATCAACTATACGAAAAAAAGGGATTATGTTTAAGTCTACTTACTGTTTTGTTGGCTCAACAATTGTGTGATCAAACGGTTTTTGGCTTGATCAAGCTCGGCATCAGTAATGGAGTTTGCGATCCGGTGCCATGTTTTCAAAGCACTTCTTGAAATTTCATCACATTGCATTGGTTCGCATACTATATAAACGCCAAACAATCCTGTGTCGCTGTATGTAGTATTGAAGGCTTTGTAGTTGTGACAAAGTTCTGAAACAAAAAAAAAACAGTTAGTTTCCATTGTCATGGGAAAAGTTTTTGAAACTAACCGTATGCATCTTCGAAGTTTCCTTGAGACCGATCAAATGCGCCAATTGCAGTAGAAGCAATAAGCAAAGGAATACGATCTGGGCTACTCCATCCTGGTCCTTCAACGGCCAATGCGAAGTAAGCATATGGAAGTGAATCATCACGGAGACGAACTTCCGATCCAGTGTAACGGCATCTTGACAAAACCGGTGGTTCACCATCAAATGTATCATCGAGTTTTCCCAGATTCTTTTCGGCCAATTTGAGTAGTTCACTTTGTTTAACTCCACCTGATGCGGCCAATACCGTGCGTGATGCCTTGTAATGTGAATCGACATAATATTGCAAATCTTTTGATTTCAATGATGATAGACTTTCTTGGCTACCAATGATTGTTTGTGCCAATGGAGTGCCTTGATATGCCGTGGCGTGTAGATAATCAAATACAACATCTTCAATATTGGCTTCAATTTCGCCTGTCTCACGTAAAACGCTTTTAATTTCATTTGCAACATCGGCTTCGTCCAATTTTGGATTTTGTACAGCATCCGATAGGAGTTCAACTACTTTTGGTACATCTTTATTGAGGCAGGTTGCATAAAATGCGGTTTGTTCACGATTGGTGAATGAATATAAACGGGCTCCTAAATTGGCCACTTCTGATTCCAAATTGGCTTTGGCTCGTTTGGATGTGCCTTTGAATGTCAATCGTTGAATTAAATTGGCCGCTCCATTGTTTGTAGCCTCTTCATAACGAGCGCCAGCATTTATCCAAATACCAACTGTTGTTGTTTCACTATTGGTTGTTTGACAGGCAACTCTAACATTGTTGTCGGTAAGGGTTAGCTCAGTTGGTTCACCAACAGTAGACAAAGCAGATAAATAGTCACCGCTATGCGATGCACCGCTCTTGAAACGCTACAATTAAAAAATGCAACGTCAATTAATCGATTTTCAACATACATCTGGCAATTGAAATATTTCGATGTGTAATTCACATGTATATCATTGTACTGAATATCATTCAGAAGCATATCTAATCACATGTTTTTGTTTAATTATAATTTTTCTATCGATAAAATGTGCGACACAATACGAGATGTGAATGAATACAGACAAAAAAAAATTACATAAGAGTGTGTGAATGGTGTCCGCCATTTTCAATGTTTTACACATAACACCACACAGTGCCGTGTACACTAAACGAACGCATTTTAACAAAAAAAAAATCTTTGGACATAAATAAAATGATCGAAAATTCTGTGGAATTAACTACCTGAGACAATACTCGAAAGTTGGACGACAATTTTAGGAGTCGTGATGCCATTTTTGCCAAAACTAGGGAATGTTAATCCAAGACAGTCACAACCTCAATCGAAATTTTATCTGTCAACTTATTAATTTTTCCATGCAACACAAAAATGTCAAAGTTTTCATATGACATTGATAGTCAAGGAACGAGTGCGTTCATTGATACATTGATAATAACATCGGAATCGGCTCATTTTTTTTTTTCAAATAATTCATATGATGCGTCATTGGCCCTTCGAAACAATTTCAAGAAAATTGAAAAAAAAAAAAAAAAAAAAAAAAACATTTCAAATTGAAAAAATTACGGTATTTGAGAGTTATATAACATTTATTAGTTATAATAACAATTAAATATAAATAATATTTTTAATACCAGGGGCACCGTTTATGTATTGAGAATTGACATTACTACGCGTTGGATCCCACATAAATTGACCGATGATCAAAAAATGGCTCGTGTGAATTGGTGTAAAGAAATGCTTAACAAATACAATCGAGGTGCATCAAAAGACATTTATAAGATCGTCACATGTGTCGAATCATGGATCTATGGATATGAGCCCGAAAGTAAACAGCAGTCAACTGTATGGGTCTTCGAAAGTGAAGATAACCCAACAAAAGTTGTTCGAGCAAGAAGCATTTCGAAGCAAATGGTCGCCTGTTTTTTCGGGAGAAATGGTCATGTGGTAACAGTTCCACTAGAGGATCGTAGAACGGTCAATTCTGATTGGTACACCACCATTTATTTGCCCGAAGTGTTTGGTGAAATAAGAAAAGACAACCGCCGTCGCAAAATATTTCTTCATCATGATAATGAGAGCTCTTACACATCGGCTCAAACCAATCAATATTTGACCGGTCAAAAGATCGAATTGATGGGTCATCCGCCCTACAGTCCTGATTTGGCACCCAACGACTGCCCGAAGAAGCAGTTGATGCGTTCATAACACACGTTTTGGAGATATCTCTTTCGGAGTGGTATGAATGCTATGGCAAGTGATTCGAGCGAATATTTTGAAAAACAATAAGGCCATTTTCAATAATAAATATTTATCTGTGTTTGTTATTCTCAATACATAAACGGTGCCCTACGTATATATATATTTAAAACAATTCAATGAAAACAAAAGTGAGTTAAAAATCAAATAATGAAATTTACAACTCGATATTTAGATATTTGATTTAATTTAAAATTTCATCGATTTGAATTCAATTTCTTCTTTTTGTCAACAAAACAGTCAACATTCTATGAAATTTGTAGTAAAAAAACAAATTAATTCATAAATTGTATAACTGTTAATACTTACAGTTTTAAATTAATCATCGTAAAGTTTTTAAAAATCTTATATGAATGAATATCATTCAATGAAAAACTAGAAATGTTTATAATTTTCTTTCATTGAACAAATTGCCTTTTATTTGCTTAATTTCCAAAAAACTGGAACGGATGATTCTCCATTTATATTTCTGTTTTGATTTGCAAATGTCAAAAACGGTGTCTATATTCTCCACTCAATATGTTGTTAAAGCGGTGAATTTGTCACATGCTGTCTATGCTTGGTAAATGTCAAGGTTGTGAATTTACTATCTGCAAATATTTTCTAAAAAGAAATGGCTTCAAAGAAGGCTTTATTTATTTGTCTGGGTAATTTCAATTATTTCAAAGTACATGTTTTTTAAAAATTATATTTTTTTAATTAATAAGTGTGGGTGTGCTGAGTATGTATATTTAACTAAATTCTTATTACTATAATAGGAAATATTTGCCGGTCGCCGATTGCGGAGGCAGTGTTTATCGATGAAGTAAAGAAATCCAATCAAGAATCGAATTGGGAAATCGATAGCGCAGCGATTGGATCATGGCATGTTGGAAAAGATCCAGATCGTCGCGCATTGGCTACAATGAAAAAGCATAATCTGGCATACAACAACAAAGCAAGACAAATTCAAAAAGACGATTTTAAACATTATGATTACATCTTTGGAATGGATGAACAAAATATTGCCGATTTAAAGAGTCGCTGCCCAAAAGATGGAACCGCCAAAATTTTAATGCTCGGCGATTTTGATCCAGAAGGCGATCGCATTATCAGGGATCCATACTATGTAAGGATTTTTTTTTAAAATGACATCAATTTGACAAATTTTATTCAATTGTTCATGATTGGATTTTTTTTATTCATTTTCAATAGGATGATGGTTCGGAAGGATTTGAAAAATGCTATGTACAATCCGTACGATGTTGTAAAGCATTTTTGGAACAAGTTGCTCAAAATTAAAATTTAAATTTGAACGCTTTGGATTAAAATACCGTGCTGAATGGTTGTTGTATCAAAGCGGAACACAGCGTTTTTTTAACATAGATTTGTTGTTGTAATACAACAAGGTGTTCCGCTTTAATATAACAACCATTCTGTACGTTGTTTTTATTTTAGAGCGTTCAATTGTTCAAAACTAAAATACTTTCAAGACAAATGAATGTAAATTTGTTGGTAAAATTGTGTTTTAATCAAAAACAAAATTTTTTTTACGAAGAGTGAGAGAATTAAAAATCGATATTCATGCATAGATGGTACATTTTAATAAATTTCATTCACATTTACGAAAATAAATGAATTCAATTACTGATAAGAGCGTAGTGGGCGAAAACATTCAAAACATTTTCGTAAAAAATTGAACCTACTCCATTTAGAATCGTGAAAAAAGCCGATTGTGTTACACAATTGGCGTTGATTGAAAACCAAATGTATGAATTAAATCTTGTTTCGCTTTCTTCCTAATTTTTTCATGAAATACCAGTAAGACCTTGTTAAAAGACATTTCTTTGTTTTGATGCGACTACAGTTGTCAAGACACTATATATACTAGTTATATATATATACACTGCCGTCAGAAAATTTGAGACCAAGCTCATTTTTTCATACAATTTCATACAAATTGACGATTTTTTGGAGCAATATTTAATATATTTCGGAAATAGCTAGACCCATAATTTTTTGTACACTTATTATTTTATTTACGGAGAGTAAACTAGTGAAGATTTACCAAAAAATATCTACGCGTTTGAAAAATATCCGAGGTTTGCACTTTCAAGTGTGAAAAATGACACATTTTGTATGAAAAATAAACCTTTTCTACACTTGAAAGTGCAAACATCGGATATTTTTTAAACGAGTAGATATTTAATTTACTCTCCGTAAATAGAACAATAGTGTGCAAAAAATTATGAGTCTAGCTCTTTCTGAAATATATTAAATATTGCTCCAAAAAATCGTCAATTTGTTTGAAATTGTATGACATTTTTTTGCTTGGTCTCAAACTTTCTGACAGCACTGTATATATATAAAAAAAAAACAAGGAAAATGACTCTAAATCAAGATTTTAATTTTTTTGGGAGATGAACGTTGATAACATCACAGGTTGAAGCGGAACAAAATAAATTTATGAAAACAATTAACAAAATTGGTTTGAAATTAAATTTCGTTTTTTTTTTTTGTAAATTTGATATTACACTTTTCTCAATTTGGTTGATTATTTCGAAAGAATATCAACAATCAATAAAGACTATTTACATTCGCAAATTAATACGCCTTATAGACGAGTCAAATACATTCTTGCACGGAGGTTAACATAATCCATAAGCTGTTCAACTGGACCGACGGCTGAAACGACTAGACATTTGTTGCTTGTGTATTTGTCGGTGACATCACGCACCGTTTGATTTGAAATATTTTGAATGGAAGCAACCACTTCACCCAATGGGGCCCGACGACCCAATGACAAAATTGAGTTTCCAATATCTTCACAAATTCCCTTTGAACCTAAAAAAAAATTAGCAAACCCACACAAATTATATTGTATAATAAAATGGTTTCAAAAAAGGTCACTTACTGCTTTGTTGGCTCAACAATTGTGTAATCAAACGGTTTTTGGCTTGATCAAGCTCGGCATCAGTAATGGAGTTTGCGATCCGGTGCCATGTTTTCAAAGCACTTCTTGAAATTTCATCACATTGCATTGGTTCGCATACTATATAAACGCCAAACAATCCTGTGTCGCTGTATGTAGTATTGAAGGCTTTGTAGTTGTGACAAAGCTCTGAAACAAAAAAAAAACAGTTAGTTTCCATTGTCATGGGAAAAGTTTTTGAAACTAACCGTATGCATCTTCGAAGTTTCCTTGAGACCGATCAAATGCGCCAATTGCAGTAGAAGCAATAAGCAAAGGAATACGATCTGGGCTACTCCATCCTGGTCCTTCAACGGCCAATGCGAAGTAAGCATATGGAAGTGAATCATCACGGAGACGAACTTCCGATCCAGTGTAACGGCATCTTGACAAAACCGGTGCTTCGCCATCAAAAGTGTTGTCCAATTTTCCAAGATTTTGTTCAGCACATTGAACTAATTCTTTGTGGCTAACACCACCAGCGGCGGCCAAAACAATGCGCGATGCTTTGAAATGTGTATCAATGTAATATTTCAAATCGCTCGATGAAAGTGATTTGATATTCTCTTGAGTACCTAATACAGTTTGGCCCAATGGAGTGCCTAAATAAAATAAAATATTCGGTAACATGGTAAGTGTGATGAAAATAGCCACCGCTTATTCGCCTTTGTAATATTTTACCTTGGTATGCAACGGCATGCAAATAATCGAATACAACATCTTCAACGTTGGCTTCCACATCACTAGATTCGCGTAAAATGTCATTACGCAACTTATTGATGTCATCAGCACTGAGTTTTGGATTTTGGATAACATCGGATAGAATCTCAACAAGTTTTGGTACGTCTTTCGTCAAACAGGTTCCATAAAGTGCGCTTCGTTCACGAGACGTAAATGAATATATCCGTGCTCCCAAACTGGAGATTTCTGATTCTAAATCGGCTTGTGCACGTTTGGTGGTGCCTTTTAGGAGTAAACGATGAACCAAATTACCGGCACCATTGTTGCTTGCCTCCTCATAACGTGAGCCAGCATCAATAAACAATCCAACGGTAGTTATTTCTGAATCCGACGATTGTGATGCAACTCTCAAATTGTTGTTGGCAACAGTTAATTCGGTTGGTGAATTTAAACTCGAAAGTGCAGCTTGAAAATCAGCACTGTGTGAGCACTTGAGCCGCTAGATTTCAAAAAGAATTTTTCAACAAATTATTAGAGGTCAATTAAACTATAAAGAAGTTATATACAGGGAAGACATAATTTTTTCTTCTTCAAATTGTTTTCACAGTGCAATTTTGAAAGACACCAGTTTGACGACATGAAACGATTACATAATAACGTACTATTTTATTCATCGCCGTTTTAACATTTTAAACATGTATCATCTACGAGATTTTTTAATAACAAAAATAACATTTTTGTCTGATTCAGATCAATAATTTACATTTGTTTCACTTACTTGAGAAATGGCCGTGAAATTTTTCGAAATTTTCAACAATTTTGATGCCATTTTTAACAAACCAAAAATGAAAATAGTTGAAATGACTTTTCTATTTGATTTAGAATGTTATGTATCATTTCAAAGGAAATCAAATGTCATAACATTTGAGGTGAGTGCGTTTAATGACATTTGTTGTGTATTTAACAGCGGCATCAGCTTTTAAATACATTCGACAATTTAATATTTTCCGTTTGAATGGACAAATTCAATATTTTTCAACCACAATTGTTTGAAAATAATTGAATGAATGGGTTATTTTAATAAATTGTTTTTTTTTTTTGTTAAAATCATCATAATTTTTGTTCGAATTACAGTATCAAAGTGAACTGTGATTGAAATAAAGGAAAATATAAACAAAGCTCTTTTCAATTATACACTTTTGTATGTCCATTGTGCTTTGACTCCACTTTATTCGTTTTAAGCACAAAATTGGACTTACCCATTATATTTCTATTGGGGGCGCCAAACGTTCTATGTTATCCAGTATTTTAGCTATTATTTCCTTAAAATATTTCATATTCTAATTTTAAACTGAGTTATTGAATAACATCTTTGACGTTGATTGAAATGTGGGTCAATCGAAACATAATTTGTCTGAATTCGCCACATGCAGCGTCTGTTTATATTTTTTTATAAATATATTTTAAGATAATTGTGGCAGATTTAAATCTGAAATGAGTAAGACCAGAACATTTATTCCATCATAATTTTCTAAAAAAAATGGCAGACGGTTTCCAACATAATTTTAATAACAACAAAATTGTAATATATCCATATGCTCTTAGATAATATATTTTTTCTGAATCACTGAATTTATTTTTTTCTGAAAAAAATTAACTATCAATTAACAAAAAAAAATCAACTGTGAAAAGTTATTCGATAATTAAAAGTGGAAAAAAAATTATTAAAACAAAAGATAGCAAACGATATGGCGGTGGCCGGTGCAATAATCAGATTCGAAAATAAAATCAACTGAGTATCCGAAACGCACCTTTATTAACCTTACCACCGGCACGAGTAGTTAAACTATTTGCACGGCTAGTAATCGCACTTTTTTTTTCAATTCCTCAAAAAATCACTTTAATAGCATAAAATTATTCAAATTGGATCTGAAAAAAAGGACGTCACGCTTACGTTTTTTTCTCCTCTTTCACACAGACTTTTTGCCGATCACTTATCGCTTGCAAGCAAAAAGACTTTGATATTAACAATGGAAAATCAACAAAAAATGCAAAAAATGACCATGTTTAATAAAGAAGAGTAGTCGAGAAATCAGCGTTCGATCGACGAGTACAACACATTTTGATTGAGCATTTTTTGCACAACGAATGGCACCTGTTTACGTATATATTTGTTTAAAAGCATAGGTGAAAAGTGAGACGTGAAAAGGCAAAAAAAAAAAATCAAAAATATGAAGAAAAAGTTGGTACATTTTCATGAACAAAATTGAGAAAGACGGAAAAAAAATCTGGCAACTGGCGAGATTTTAATTTATTTAAATCAAACGTTCGGTGCAATGTCATGTAGCATCGTGTTTCAGACACCGCTATTATTTAAATGCTCAATTCAAAATTAATAAATACTTAAATGAAGTATGAATAAATTAACAATAAAAAATATTACAACTTTTTCTTCTCAACCGATTATTACGTAAACGTACATGTGTCGCAGATGAATTTCAACTGGAATTTTCAATGCGAAGAAACAGAAAAATCAAATCGAACGAATCTAAAATGATTGTACTTACGAAATCTCATTTCTTTTCATTGTTTCGTAAAACGTTTACTAGAAAAATAATAATCGATTAATTAATACTAAGTAAGCATTGGCTGGGTAAGAAACTTTGTAACATTTAAATCATAACAATGAATGACAATGATTGCAAAATCACAACCGAAAAACCCAAACTAAACAGAACAGGCACACGCATATTGAATGAGTACACCATACAAATTTAAATGTCATGCAGGTAAATGAACGCTTGAAATCATGAATAACAAACAACATACTGCTGAAACCAAGTAGTATTTTTTCAAAAAAAAAAAGTACGTTCATTAAAAAAAATCAGTTGATACAATGATCGTATACTTTTTTACTAGGGGTTGGACTCTCGGATTAGGAATTGTCATTTGCTTCGGATTCGTAAATGATAGTCGGATTCGTCGAAATAGTGGAAATCGTGGAATTTGGTTTTTAGCATAAAACACTTCGTGTTTTTTTACTAAAATTGGTTTAATAATTTAATGAAGCAATTTTAATTTATTGAAAACATTAGAAATTAAATATTTTTGTTATAATCGGTATCAAATTTATGAACTAAAATTATTTTAATTGTTGTACGGCTTATGAATATAAATAAGTTCATTTATAAAACTGTCAATGTACAGGGTGGCCCAGAATAACTGTCACTTTTATATATGCTTAAAAAACGTATTGTTTTTTACTAAAATTGAACAAAAACTTTATTGGGATTTAGAATAGGGTCCAAAGTTTTAAATTCATGTTTTGGTTTTGATTCTTCCTCCGTTTGCACGGACCACCAAACGCAAACGTCGTAGAAACGACTTACACGCGGACCGCACCATTTCGATGGGAATATCATTCCAAATCTTGACGATTTTCTTTTTAAATGCATCCAATTTTGTGATTTTCTTAATCTTCAGGTCATTAAGCTTTGATTGCATGTAGCCCCACACAAAATAATCCAATGGATTCAAGTCTGGAGAAGATGGCGGCCACTCATCTTTGTTCAAAAAATCAGGCACATTTTCTCTTAACCACTGTTGCACTTTGTTTGCTCGATGTGCCGGTGCCCCATCTTGTTGAAACACCCACGGTTCATCACCAAACACAGTTTCAGCATGTTGCAACAAGATTTTGCGCAATATTTCTTCTTCATAAACAGTTGCATTAATTTTAACACCTTTTTCAACGAAAACAAGAGGAAATTTGTGGCCTGCCGAAACGGCGACCCAAACCATGACACTTGACACATTTTGAAATCGTTCATTGGCTGCAAAAGGAACAACTTTTCGTCTGAAAACACAATGTTTGAAGTTGCGGCCCGGCGTAGCAGTTCTTTGCATTTTTGCTTTCTGTCTTGCTTATTTTTGATTGTCAAACCGTGTTTTCGGGTTATTTTAAATGGTTTCACTCCAAAATCTTCTTTCAACACTCTTTGCACTGAAGATCGACTGATATTGTGCTCACGAGCCAAGATTCTGGCGCTTCTTTTGTTATTTCGACGAATTTTCTTTCGTACCTTTTGGACCAGATCTTTTGTACGTACAGATTTTTTTCTATCCCGGTTTTCGCTTCACATCGACTGTTCCACGTTCCTTGTATCGTTTTATGGTGCCATGAATGAATCTCAAATTGATATTGTCGTTCTGAAGCCGCCGAAAAATATCAACTTGTCGCAAACCTTTTTTATATAAATTCAAAACTAGTTGACGTTTCACATCCATTGCTATTGTAAAGTAAGCATGCCAGATTTTTTTTTATGTCGATCCGGTCCGGATTATCCGGGCGAATTTACTCTAAGTCCGGGCGAAATCCGGGCGATGCAACTCAAAATTGTTAACTGAAAATCCGGGCGGAATCCCTGCAAAATTAATTTTTTCATCCAAAACAAAAATATTTTCCTCAGAAAATTTTTGAAATATTTTTCGATTTCCACAAAAATGACTTGATTATCAATGTAAGTTCAATAAATGATGTTTCTATAGTTTTTGATAAGATGGATTTTTCGATATAAAAAATACCACAAACTCACACATTTAAAAAGAAAAAAATCCAAAATTATTGAAGTTTTTTGTTAAAAAATTGTCGAAAATTGTAAAAAATCCGGGCGAAATCCGGAATTTTTCCAGCATATCCAGTCATCCGGGCCGGGCGATTTTTCGTCCGGGTTTTGCCTCAAAAATCCGGGCGAGACCGGCTTTATCCGGGCGATCTGGCATGCTTATTGTAAAGTAAACAAGAACTGCGCAATACTGTGCATCGTCACGGTGGATTGCCAAAACATTAATAAACATAACGGTGAACCAAAGGGTGATTGGAAAGAATTGTAGTTGAAATTACGTAGGTGCAAAAAAAATGACAGTTATTCTGGGCCACCCTGTAGATATAAGTTCGTTGATCGTGTTTTGACAATTTCGCACAACGAACTTATATACGTATACAAAATATATGTAGTTATTGGAAATTTAAATGTTAAATTTGTGTTAATTTTTATTAAATTTTGTTAGTTTTTAACTCAAATTTCTCAAAATTTCAAAAAATATTGAATTTCAATGTTTTAGATTCACATTAAATGCTATCGCTGTGTATTTACTATACAACAAAAATATAAACTAGATCATTGAATTTTTGTGAATCATCTGAATAGTGAGAATCGTAAGAATAGCGAGAATCGTGGATTTGCTGTATATTCTTCATTTGCAAACGGTGTACAACCCCTAGCTTTTTCACACTTTTTTTCGGTCGTGAATTATGTGTAACTGATAATCGATAAAACACAGCTCCTCTTCCACAAAGTCGATTACTACTTTATTTCTACTATTTTACAGTAGAATTTTTATGATGACAGTTGTGTTTTATCAGTTACACTTAATTCATAACCGAAAAAAGTGTGAAAAGCATACATTCTTCAATGTTTTTGATTTACATATGTATAAAGTTTTGTAAAAACCATTTTGGAAACCATCTAAATTTATGTATACAATCATGAATTTCTTTATTTCGGATAATTTTCAAAACATTCATAAAATGGTAATCAAGTTATGATTTTATATGCACTAATCATTTATGCCTAGATTTAATAATGGATGTGCTCATATTTAATGCTCATAACGGCAATGAAGTATCATTATAAATTTCATGCAATCGACAAATCAATTGGAAATGCAACATTGGAATTTATAAAAAAATTGTGCCGTATATCTTTAAAAAATATAAAAATACAAATATCTATAAAAAATTATGCCGCTTGCGGCTTTGTTATATAAATTTATCAATTTGAA